CTAGTTCCTCATCTCTTGATAATTTTATTCTAATGCTAATTTAAGAACACAGGTGTCATCTAATTGACGAATAAATGATTATGATTAAATTGGCAGACAATGTCAAACAGATTAGGTTACATTTATCTGCCTAATTATCAAAGAAGTCAATCACGAATCTTCTAGAACAAGTACCTACTTACTACACTGATGACTAGTTACTTTAGGGAAACCAAAACTATAATGAATGACAAAATCTGTGTTGCTAAGCAAATACATGTATAGAATGCACAAATAAAGCGGCGATTTCTTAGAACAAGACGCAAATAAATGCAAAAATGTGACGTGTAGGTACGTAAGTACTACAATTTAATTAATTCTTAAGAATGTCATGTCCTCACGACTTTCTGGACAGGAAACGTACCAGGTACCATGGATGACGAACACAGACTTCCAGTGTTTGAATAGAAATATTTTCTATTTCATAGAAATCTTTATTTCTATATGTCGCAGAAATTTTTGTTGGATGGCTAGTTCCTAAATATGTAATAGTTACGACTGCAAATATGGTTAGTAGTTCGCAATTGGTCTAGTTGGTGGTCATGAAATACGTAACTTTTTTTATAAATTAAGCCGTAATATAAAGGTAAACATGAAAAATCTAGTCAAAATAAAAAAGAGCTACAATATTGTGATATTAATTAATAAAAACATGATTATTTTTGAAAATCTTATTCTGTGGAAAAGTTGAAATAATTTATTTTTGAACGCGGCAACTACCCACTTCGTAGCTAAAATTAAAAGAGATGGTAGGAAGGTAATGATTTATGCATTCTTATTAGATTTTCTTCCTATAGCGAGAATATCAGACTGATAATTACGAAAACTTTAAACTTTAGCTTGAAATGTACGTTACTATACGTAATTATTTTAAAGTAAGTAATGATGATATTATAATATACAACACAAATACCTAAATTTACCTTATTTTACCTACCTATTTCAGTACTCATTGAGATCATCGTACGAAATTAAATAGGTAAAATTATTTTTGCAATAAAATCGGAAACAAGCATGTTGGTAGTCTGTCTGTGTAAGATAAATCGCATTATGTACATATTTATGTAAATGTCCAATCGTAAAACTATTTATAATTAATTAATTACACATTAATTGTACCTAGCTAATAATTTAATTTATATAATTTATAACAATATTTGAAGTTATAATATTCTCTCTTCTACCTACAGATAAGTAATAAAAATAATTCTGTGTTTCATATTATTACCAACTAAAATCAATGAGGATAACGACTTATTATGTGATTTAAGTAGGGTCATTTAACTCAGGAAAGCTCTACTATTTTCAACTTTCATGTCACAATGGGACTCTTATTCAGGAGCAGAGAAATTTAGTGTCTCACGAAAGTTATCATCAAAAATTATTAACAACTTTTTGCGACGAGAAAGAAGCAAACGAGAATTGATTACGATAAATGATACTTAAAACAGATATTACAAGGTAATTGTCGTTTTAAATAAAAATTACTATATCAAATATCACGCGATAACGAAAAAGGTTGATACTGATAGTTGGTTACCTTACCTTAATTACGTTAGTTACCTTAATCAATTTTAACCTTAAAAAAGAACAATCTAGGTACATAAATGTGTGTGAAAGTACCAACCTAGCCAAGTGGTAGTCATGTCAACGGTTACGCCAAGAAACGTAGATATTCAAATTTAAAATAAGAATGGAATACTAAATAGTGATGCGTTCTCAGTCTCAATGGAATACGGTGGAATTCAAATTAGTTTTCGGAAAACCGAATTCCGACTAGTTTGTCTACATATAAGGTTCAAGGCTGGTTTATTCAAATTGCATAACCTGTTATTTCACAACGTTTTGAAGCGACTTGAAGCCAGACAGTCCTTGACCGTTGAAAGTGTTTGAAGCAGATGGATTTAATACGTCAAATTGTCTCTTTTTTCCAATTATGCTCATTAATTATTGTTTTTTAATTAATTTAACATTTAGATGTAAGATATTAAAGATACCTGCTAATTCTAAGGTATTGTAAAAAAAACTTTATTTACCCTACCCTACTTTAAAACAATACGCGTTGGAAGCATGCCTTCAATACTGATAGTGATAAGCAATATCCACAATCGATATTTCATAATAAATTTTAATTCAGTTTAGATTCCCTAAATGAATATCAACTCATTACGATACGACTGGATTCGGCTTCGGTATGAAGGTAGGTACGTGTTGATTTTTTATGTATGTAGGTGGTTAGACAATACTTTAATACTCATTTTATTTCTGTTATAAGACTTATTTTAGGATCATCACTATCATTGCTGATATATAGGCGTATAGGATATTACGAAATTTGACGAAAATTACTGAAAAAATATATTCGATTATCTAATTCAAAAGTAATTCTTGTTAATAGTTCTATGCTATTTAAGTATTTAATGTTCACGTACATAAAATCATAAATCTTATAAAAAAAAAATGGGGAAAAAACGTTTATTTTAAATAGGTCTCAAATAAATTTGATCCTAGTAACGCCATCTACACTTTAAGCAAACAATTTTAGCTTTTGCTACTCGCCACTAGATGGCAGTGTTGCAAGTGATATCTAACAGCGACATCTGGTGACGCAATATGAAATCAAACTAAAACTTACCGTTAACGCCACCTAGCGGCGAATAGCCGAACAAGTTGCTCACTTGCTAAGCAACAATCCAAACAGCGCCATCTAGCGAAAGAACACTGCATCCAATGTGCACTTTATAAACACAACTGAAACTGTTGACTTTCACACATTCCAATAATATTATTAATTTTTCACGTTTTGTATTGGTCGTTTGCACAATTTTTGTTAAATTCGTTCACTTCATGAATATTTTTAACACATATTTTACACTGGCACATGTGGTATTTTATTTTCATATTTATCTGAAACAAAAACAAAACAGTATTAATTTTAATGTCTAAAATATATTTATTTACAACAGAAGTTAACAAATTTTATGAGACAAAAGAATATCAGAATCATATTAGTATTTCATTATAACTCTAGTATGAATCCCGTAACACCCTTACTAGAATTTGACCTATATAAACCAGTACACATTTATAATCTAAATAACTGAATTTCATTATCTATAATTACATTGAATAAGATATCAGGAATAAAGAAGAAAATCCCCTTTCAAAAGTTTAAAACACACAACCGGACTTCTTGAGTCTGATGTAATATGAGATGATCATCGGAAATCGTGAGCTTCAAGCACATGTTTGAAAGACCAATAAGAGATAAAGTATAAATCAAACCTTAGGACTTTATGAACATATTTATAATAAAATACTCTTCTTCTTTCATGTGTATAGACTCTTTATAAACACCACAAAACTAGAAATGAATTCACTGAAGTATGCAGTATGACAACTCATTTATTTATAATAACGCAATATTCATTATCAAATTGCTATGCTAAATGTACCAAGATAAATGCAATCAATTATAAGTTCTAATCTTTACATATAAATTAAAATTTTAAATGAAAGCATAACAGAGTCTGCACTATCATATAAAATTATGGTCTAATGATTTAAGATTTAATATTAAATCATATTACAGATCATATTTTAAGAATATGTAAGGATAGATTATGTTTTCTGTACCTTTGATTGGTTTGATATTAGTGTACAAATGAATCAAATAATTGATTAATATCACATTGCCTATGTGGCATTTCCACATGTTTGTAAAATATTTCAGCAATCCTTGCTTTTCTTATTAAATGATTAATAATATGAAATTCAAACTACAAATCATAGTCATTAGCCATCAAAACAAAAACAAATAATTAAAGATTTAATTGTTTATATTTTTTTAATTACTCCAATGGCATTTCTTACTCTTTAAACTATTATGATGCATAATGGCAATGTAAATACAGATGGTTTATAAATAGAAAAAATAAATATAAACATTATGACCTTTCTAGAATGTCCTTCAAAATTAACTTGTTTTTTTCCTGATTTCACTACTGTTTTTAAGGCAAAAAAAATATTTTACTTACCACAAACACTTCATCCAACGGAATACTAATCCAGGATACGAAATTCATGATGACACGGAGTTGTAATAAAACAACCAAAGTATTTTCCAACCTAAGATTTGAAACTTATACTAACACTCTTGTACACACGTTTTAAATAGGATAAACCGAAAAACTGGGCTCGGGCGGTGACTGTTGCGTAAATAAGACAGCTCTTATGCATCTAAGGTCACCTTGCAACACACTTTTAAACTGAAACTTTACAATTAGCCTGAAAAATGCAAGCACGTGCACATAGAAATGCACCTATTATGCACTAAGTAATTTTGTCTCAAAATTTCATTAATTCACACAGTAGAGGGGCCTAGTGAGCATCAATATAGCACAACGAGCCAGTTATTAAGGGTTTACAGGCAATTTTACACGTGAACTTTATAACCAATTCGAATTACAGCGGCTGAAAAAACTACACAAAGAAAACATATGATCGATCGAAATTGAAGTGCACATGGACTTGTCTATGGTCGACCTCCTGTCAATTTTGAGGAACGGGAAATGAATAGACTATAGAGGACCACTCCAAAGATTGAAATTGTTTTATTAACTTTTTAACGATATTATTATGTATAATATATTTTTATTACCTACTGTTTTAATAAAATTTTTGAAACGTAAACATCTATTGCTCAACGCCCCCTTCCTTTTGGGTTCAGCTGCTGTCATCGCAATCGAGTAAAAACCCAGATTACAAGAATGGTTTTCTATATAAATCCGTAAAGCAGGTACTTACCAAGAAGTTGTTAAAAGTAGCTGTAAGGTAACACTTTACTTGTGCAGTGTAAAATGCATGTAGGATAATCACGACGTTTTCAATGCCTACAAAAAGGAAGAAGTTTTACTTAGTATGAAATAAAAGTATACCTATTATAAGTACTTTTAAAGATTTCAGAAACCAACCGGCTCGTTTTCCACCCACAGACTTCCAAACTCATTTTCGAATTTTGTGACAATTTTTGGATGTGATGTAACAATAACGCTTTCATGATTTGAAATCATTGCATGGGAGGACCAGTTCAAAGAACCAGACATTACAAAACCAGTGACATTGACCTTAGCCGGGATTTTAACTGGATTTTTGATATCTTTCGCATGAACATTTAACTTTTCGGCATGAGCTTTTAACATGTTCTTACGGTGAATGGCTTTCGGTCCGTCAACTATGCAAAATTTGTGGTGCATTAAAAAAGTCTTTCTGCTCTTGGATGTCGTCTGCACTTGGATAAAACCTGGAAATTAAAACATCGTTTTTAACCGTTTTTGAGACACCAATTTAAAATAAAAATGAAATATAAATTATTTCCAACTTACTGTATTCTTTTAACTTTTTAATTTGTGATGGTGGTGTAAACGCCATATCACTGTCAACAACTATTCTTACTAAGACATGTCTTTGTCCTAATCGTATAATTTGTTCTGCTATTTCTCCGCTTGTTATAAGATACATACACACGTCCAATGTCTCACGTGTGGAATTTATGTATCTGAGTAGTTTGTAGCAATTTAAATCTCTACTTTCACATATCGTGATTTCTTTAGTTGGCGGTATTCTTACTGTATGTCGAGTCGCATCGTCTGAGAACACTATCACATCGTTTATATCACGGGTTTTAAGATTTAGCAAATCATCGCACATGTCGTCACTAGGATTCTCAGATTGAACATTTCTTGGATGAAAAAAATATTTATAGGCTTTTTTTACTATTTGTGTAGCGACAATCACTGTTGCAGTTGACAAAAAGAGAAGTTTTGCATTTTTCCAATCCATTTTAATTAATTTACTACTTTAAAACTAACAAATTAAAAAGAAATTTTTAGAATATCAATAGTCCACCATATCGTCCACGCATTAACTAAAATTGGTGGTCACAAAATGGTACAGTTTTCTCTAGTACCCTCAAATTCAAAATAATTTTATTTTCAAATGTATGCTTTGTGTCGGTTTTAACTTTCTATGACTTTATTACACAAAAATAATTCAAATATGTAAATTGAATAAATGATTATAACCCCTAAGTTAAAATAAAAAACGATTTTAAAATTGAAATATACTTATCTAATTGTTTTGACAAAGGACCATATTTTATTTTGCAGGCAGAATGATGAGGTTACCTTGCTCAATTAGTTATCTCTGATTTAAAAAATAAAAATACCAACAACAACAAACGAAGGAATTTGATATTTTTTTACAAATAAAACAGTTTTTCCTTCATTGTATTGTATTCTCCTGTACAGCAGTAATTATTATGCAAATAAAGTGATTTTATTTATCATTTATTTTTAAAGTTTAAGTGTAATGTTATTTATCAAGTTCTAAAATTAGGTATCTGCTATACATGGATTCCGTGCGTCGCATTTAGGAAAAACTATAATGCCAAAAATACCGTATAAACCTGAAAAGACCCGCGAGGATGACGATGATTACGAGATTGTGTCTTTTGAAGACTTCTGTGACAAATCTCCTGGTTCTAAAACCGATCTTTTAACATTAAATGATAATATTAACTATCGTCTTTGTTACGAGAGTGATAAGAATTCAAAATTGACTGAATTAGAAGGTGAGAGCTCCAGAGCTGCAGATAGTCAAACGGAGACTTCTCTAAATGGCCCTAAAGGTGTTACATTTAAGAGGAAGCTTTCAAATTCCTTTGCACCCTTTGGGCGGTACAACAACAAGGCAGGCAGGGCTCCACTGTTTAGCGGAGTCATTCCAAAGCCAAGAAATGAAGGAGAGTCTGGAGCAAGGGAACATAGGTAAGTTGTACACATTCAATTAAAACTACCCACTAATACCTTTGTTCTATGGAGGTTACAACCATTGAGTGCTAACTAGAACTACCTTTACGTCCTTCCTTAACCCTTAAGATTCCATTACAATCATACTCCTGTTCATTGATGCATGTGGCAGTGTCTGGCTATAAAAAAATTATAAAACAACCTCTTCATGGTCTTCAAAATTAAATGAATACAATATTTATTTTGTTTATCAAACTTATGATGACAATATCATGTACCTTTTCATATCAGTTTGCCCTGCTTTCAAGCAGTGTAATGTTAGGAATTTACATTTTTTAAATCATTATTACACCATAATTCATTTTATTATTCATTATAGAAGTTACTTAGTAAATTCTAACTAGAATGTTCTTCCATGTTTATGACTCTGTTTATGAATTGTAAACATTTCTTACATGCTAGTTAATTATTAGAAATGTGGAATTTGTAGTGGGTACACATGATAATATATTAAAACTAGCTTGCAGTTTATTAAAACCTCCCTCAAGATTTACTGGTTTCAGTTTATTGAAAAACATTGTAGTAAGTACTGGTAGAGGCACTATTGATTATAATGGTTCATGTCTACGCCGGAACGCATCATTCTTCGTTGTGTATGGAACGCATCCGTAAAATGTTGACTACGTAAAAAAATAAAATTTTAAGTATTTATTAAATTAATTCTATTTTTGTAAGTGATGATTTAATTTATCATTATTAACATTATCTGTCATGTATGTCTTATTAAAATTAAGCCTGCTTGCTTGCTTCTTTCACGAGTATTGGCTGATCTCTGCATTAGCATTACCCAAGGCAAGTAGGAAATACCTAAGGTAGTAAGTCCGCCTATTTACCTCTTTGCATGAAATAAGTATCAAATAAATACATAAAAGAAAAAAAGGGTAAGTACATTTAATTTGTTTGTTACCACGGTAGGTAGGATTTGAAAAAAAAACAGTTATTGTTGAGGGTATAATTGCAAAATGTATTGTAACCCTGGCCAATAGCAGGAGAGAAACTGGGTAGTTTTTAGTCAGATACACCCTTATTACAAAACAAGGTTTATCTTTAGTCCAGGTTTAAACCATTGAGTCAGGTTTTGAATTTTGAATCTTATTGTCATCTACCTTCAATTCGAAATACGAAAACTGGCTCAATGGTTTAGTCCTAGACTAAAGTAAAACCTTGTTTTATAATAAGGCCGTAAGAGTCTGAAACGTGCTCATTGTTGATAAAAAAATCTTAAGTTTAGTTAAAAAGTTAAGTTATGTAAGATGAGAAGAGAACAAAGAATTTTATTAATTAATCCAACCCCAAAACCAGCGTTCACATTTGAAAGGTGAATTACCATTACTTATTTTTTGTTTTTGACCAAAATCTGTAATATATTGTAACTGTATTGTTTTTAACCAAAATCCATATTACACATAGAAAAAAAAACAAAAGGTAGGTATTCAAACGATTCACTGACACAAAATGATCACTAACTCATTGTATCATAATACAAAATTGTATAGCAACAATTATTTTAGACTTTGTTGCCTGATTAATCATACATTTGAATTCAACAGTAAACATGAACTTTGATTGTGTAATAAATTTTCTAATATCAAAGTGATATAAATAGCAACATTACTCCCATTTCCAGATAGTCTGTACTGTACTGCTGGCTGTGTTAGAAATATTTTGTGCACTTTAGGACAGAAACATGAAAAAGTTGTGTATTTAATATTTATTTACATTGTAGCAATTTCTACTTGTCTTTTAATACTATTATATAAGTGTATGCATTACAAAATGTGTCTATTGTGCGGTGATGTTGTCATCATAAAAACAAATAGTTTAACCAGTAAAAGTTTTTGATTGGTTTTATCAGATTTTTTTCTATGTTTTATGGTGTCTTTACACAATTGCAGACATGACACCTCTACAAGCTACTAAGAAAAAAAAAGAAAAACTAAATTTGAGTTTAATTTTTTTTTGTTTCAGATACCAGCGCTTTTCGGAGCGTCGCAACATATTTCAGCGAATCTGGGAGCACTTGCCCGGGCTAGGGTCAGGCATGCTGGGTGTGGCCCTAGTCTGTGCGCTGTGTGTGGGCGCCTGGTGGGCTGTGGGTGGTGCTGTGGGAGGCTCCTGGGGAGAAGAGCATTACAGGTCCGTAGAAATATTTATGCTATGGGTTGCGGGGCAAGTGCAATGAGGCACCGCGGCCTCGGTCAAGAGCAAGACAAGGAACAGGGGGCGTTTTTAATCAGTAAGAGTCTGACATTCACTCTCTCCCGCCCCACTCTGGGCGGGACTAATGATTTGATGATATTCCCCTTAACAAAAAATAAATTGCTATCGTTCGACGATTAAGAGAATATACTCTTTCTTTTCATTTTTTATGTAATTAAGGATCACCTGATTTTAAGCAATCAGCATCGCCTATAGATACCCGCATCAAGAGTATGCGCAGGAATTGCACGATTTGATTCCGTACGGCAAATATCCACCCTTACGTTGTTGAGACACCTGCGACCCGGACTAAGCGTTTTGCCTCGTCATTTATACCGCGTACATCGAGGGATTGGAACAGTTTGCCGGCTGCAGTCTTTCCGTCCGAATATAATTTAGGTGTCTTCAAGGCTAGAGTGAATAGGCTCTTAATAAACTAGTGTGCCTTACCATCAACGATTGCATCACTGCTGCCTGATGGTAACATCAGGCATGATTGCAGTCAAGCACTAGTTTATAGCAAGTAAAAAAAAAACACCACAGGAGTTTGTATACATATAGTGTATTGCCGGCTTTTTTGGAGATTTTCTGGAGAACTTTTAAGAATAGAGGAAGCATTGGGTCTCCTAATCACACGAAACACATAATGCTTATCATCAAAATTAATAAAGTTTTTTTTACGTTACTAAAGTAGTGTAGTTTAGGATACGCAAAATTGCACCTATCTGTCTTTCTAAACTCTTTATCAAAAATGTTCTTTACTAAGTTTCTAGACTCTCAAACTACCTCCAAGCAGAAGATGGCAATTTAAAGGTCTGACATGCTTGCCAAGAGTAGATGCTATGAAGTAGAAGAGTTATTAGGTAGAGCAATGGACAGGAACCCATTACTCATTTTCACAGCATAAGAATGCTGTTGATGTAGGGGGTAGTAATTAGTTTCGAAAGTCAAGAGATTAAATTATCAATATTCCCGTTAATCCTTTAGTAAAGGACTGTATTATCTGAGATAAAAGGTTTTTCAATTTGTACATAAAGGTGCAAGGTACACAAAGGTGGACTTAATATGGATATTTAGAAATTATTATACTTTGAAAAGTTTATACTTTAAAGAATGGGGCAACTTACATTAAATTTGCACATTTATATATGCATTACATAGCACTAGTTTTATATTTATGCATAGATACTATTCAAACAGTATGTTTTACGAGGTCGACGTATACTATTATTCAATTTGGTTTATACTTACTGAATCTGTATCCAAATATTTACACATAATATTAATCATTAAATTACAGAAAACTTTGGGAAAGAACGCATCCAGATGCGATCAAGAAACCATTATCACCGATGCCATATGAAAAGGTACCTAATTTTAATTAGTTTAGCAATCATAATCCAATACCTCCATAAAATAATAATAGAGATATAACTAATAAATAGTTTCCTATACAGCAAGCTCCGGAGTATCGTTACCATGACCATAATAACTTGAGTACGAAGAACAAAAGTAATGCGACGGAGAGAAAGAAGACGGACTTGAATAAGAAGAATGTGTATCCGGAGAGGACTGTGGAAGTTCTTCAGGATATGTGCTCGAAGGTCGATGAGATGATGAAGTTTGATTGTTTCCCTCAAGGAGCGTCGAATGAAAAAGATTGTGTTAAACGAGGTAAGTTTCTGTAGTGTACTTTCCTACAGTATCTAGTGCGAGTTTGTTTTGCGTCATAGCCATCGACATGTTTATGACGTTCGGCGCTGTGATTGGTCTGCTCCAAGTTAACCAACCAATCAGAGAGCTAAACGCCTTTAAGTTTCGGTCTTGCTAACGTTAAGAAAACTCTCATTAGGCTCTCAGTTCTAGCGTTATTATTTTCTTATACAACTACCCAGAAAACGATTTTGTCGTACCTGTGTAAATACATGTTTCAAAAATCACATATTTCGAATATACATATGTGGTTGCTCATGAGGAAATCGATCCCGCAACGGTTACATTTTGAGGGAGGAAATCAATAAATGGCTCCTCCCGCCGCTAGGTGGGCTAAGAGAAATGGTTAGACTAACTAAAAATCACCCCGTTCCGACTACTGCTTCGGGAGTTCGGGCTGCGGTACATCATACTACTTACCCACAATTCCAGCATACTAGTATTTAATTGAAATTATTCACAGTAACATCGCGAAGTCTGGAATGAAAATCGATCTTTGTCTATACATATAATAAAGCTTATCATATCCCAAAACTAACTGATGAAAGGATATGCAGTTAAAGATGATGAACCTCGGATTAACTCATATCAGTTTTCGCTCCTGACCTTCGCACGTTTTATGAAAAATATTAATACTTCACATCCAATCTCATTAATAATTATATAGGCATGCTGTTTAATTATTATTTAATTGGTTTTATAATTTATACCGCAATACATTCGCGTGCTTACACGACCTTCATGTTGGGTTCGCGTAAAGGTTGTTGTATTCTACATGCTGTTTTTGCTTTATAATCTTTTATATATACGAGAATACTGCCTTAATAATCAGTGACTACCGACAACCGTGTATTATCTACATATTGTATAAAAGACAAAAATTAAATTAATTTAGGTGATTGATTTGTTGTGTCGAAGCACGGGTTTCATACACATCTAGTATTAATCCTTATCTCTGAATGACTGCAACTTATTCAGCCATCATTTCTTTTTCTCTCGCCCAGGTTGAGGCGAGACAGACTGTTAGACTCTTACTGACTAAAAACCCCCCGTTCCTTCTCATGCATTAGGCCGAGGCCGCGGTACCGGTACCTTATTGCTCTGGTCCCACAACCCCGGATAAACATCGGCCCTGGACCCGTCTGTGGTGGTCTATTCCGTACGCTCGGTTCTTGTTTTGTCGGGAGGCGAGCCACCTCCTCGCCGTCTGCAGACCCGCTCTTACGGGTGGCTGGTTATCGTCGCTGAATTCCCGACGCTCGGACTGTCGCCTTCCGAGGCGGTTTGGGCGTGAGGGGAAATCTCCCTCACGCGCACTGCCTCCTTCTTTGCGAGCACCGCTACTTTACAAAAGAAGGTATCTAATGGTTTCCCAGTTCCTCTCGCTCCGTATCATGAATGACCTCGACTAAGGCCGGACGCCACATTTCGGCGATGATTTTATTTCTTTTGTACAAGAAAGTAATAAATTACATTTACACTTTCAGGATGCTGTTGGAAGTCAACAGAGACTCAAGGAGTGCCGTACTGCTACTATCCGTCTCACTTCGACTCCTTCCGATTCCTCAACATGACTGAAGACAAGCACGGTATGAATGTCTACATGGAGAAAGTCCGGCCTTCAGGGTATCCAGGAGATTTTGAAGTAGCGAGGATGGACTTCAAGTATCTATCTGATGATGCTCTGCAGATTAAGGTGAGAAGCAAAATATTATTGTTGCACTTTTATTATTGCTTAGAAGATACAGAAAAAGAAACAAAGAAGATTTTGGGTTCATCCATTAATTACTATTATGAAATCCGGTGGAATGCGCGATGCGAATCAATTCGCAAGTTCTTGCGATGCTTAGAGGGAGCTCGCAGATTTTTGCGATGCGACGTCGCATCGCAGTTTTGTGTACAAGCCCTGACTCCGATAAAGAATTCCACTCCTTAGCGGTTCTGATATGGAGGCTAAACACTTCGTGTGCGTGGGTGGGATATCTATGATGAAGCGATGACGTTTTGCCAATTATCTGTTGGTAAGATGACGGAAAGGACTATGAGAATGAAGTTGAGCAGTTCCCGCATAAACTATCTGTAATGTATCCGAAAAAAAAAACCCGAAAGGCTTGCAATTTGCACAAGTCATTATTTACAAAGTGCTAATAAAATCATACTATTCATGAAATTTTCAGATTTACGACGCAGAACACAAGCGGTTTGAGCCAATACAGCCAGAAATAACCATAGTGTCGAAACCTCTCTCACAGAAGAAGTACAGGGTGCAAGTCGATGGTTCTCTCATTGGATTCAAAGTCATAAGGAATTCTGATAATGTTACTATGTAAGTTCACTCACGTTTTTTTCACAATTAATTGAAAGATTTCCAATTCAAATGTAAGTAAGTATGGGCATTTTAGATTTCTAATCTATGATCCGTTTCTGATTGTTTTATTCACTGACAGACAGGGGTATGAAAATAAAAAAAATAACTATTTAGTCGATGGTTTGCGACTGGAGATGTATTTGTAATTTTTTTTTTTGGAAAAAGAAAATAATACTTAGGTAAAAGAATTTAGTCAATATGTCACTTTAATATTGGAAGTGACATATTGAAGAGACTTAAGTTAGTATACTAAAAGAGGACCGTCGCACGATATTTGAAATCAATATATCGCTGAAAGTATTCAATTCCGTAAAAAATCACATCTCTTGTTTTAAAGTAATTAATCTTGCAGATGGATATAAAAAATACAATGTTTTTTAAATATTTCTGACTGACTGCACGGTTGGTGCGGTAGCTGGGCAACTGGCTGCCAAGCAACGTGTCGCGGATTCGATTCCCCCACGGAACAACTCTTTGTGAGATCCACAAATTGTTGTTCCGGGTCTGGGTGTCTTGTGACACAGGAGAAAATACAAATATGGGGCAACGTTTTTTTTTAAAAAAAAACAAGAAAATGAATTTCTTCTAGCTTTGTCCATAAAACTTATTTAGCTCTTTATTTTCAGTGTAAACACCCAAGACATAGGTGGTTTGATCCTATCAGACAAATTCCTGCAGCTATCAGCAGTGCTACCAACGAGCCATATATTCGGGTTGGGAGAGAAGAGGGCACGGTTCATGAACAATGTCAATTGGAATACCTTTGCGTTGTTCAATAGAGACAGGGCGCCTACTGAGGGGGTTAGTATAATTGACACTTGGGATTTTTCGAAATTTCGGGAAACCTTGAGTTCTTTTCTGTATATTTATACGTCTTTTACGTCTTCACTTAATACAATAAACAATCTTCACTTAATAAAATAAAGTGTATAGCAAATAATTATAAATATGCAAAGAGAAAATACAAGAAAGAATGCAACCTCAAAGAAATGATCGAAACGAAGGTTTTACTCTTTCTATGAGCGCATCCCAAGTAACACAGTCATGCTGAATAACGTTTGAGTACTAGTGATCCGCGAAACTATAAGCTGTAACTATTGTCTGGATATTGTCTGAGTGAACGTCTATTCAACTGTTACTCAAGCAATTTGGGCACATTTTTAAATGCATAAGTCTGTATAATATAGCTGTAAAGTTTGGGTAATTGCTTAATAATAACAGGCTTAACTTAATAACGTCTGAAAAAAAGCTGTCATCACTTTAATATAGCTATTATTTCGTATTTATTCAGACAAATGCATATGGATTTTGTTATTCAAAAATTATTCAGGATTATGTTCATTTGCGTAATACTTTTCAAACATAATTAAAAGTTAAGTTGTGAATTAGAAAAAAAGTTGTGTTTAATCGTGCAGTGTGTGCTTTGTTTTGAAATTTCATAGTTTTTAGTAAAATAAAGATGGTAGTGGAACTATGCGAATCGGTAAGTACCTAAATGTTATTATGTATTATAACCATGATACACGTAAAAAATTACTGCGCAAGATATTTTATCGTGAATAGCATATAAATTATCTCAACATTTTTCACGCGCCGCTTTCATATTCATTTTTAGTAATAGTATATGACATATAAATAAAGACTTTTAGAAGTGACAAAAATACTTAGGATGAAACAGTTATGCTAATCTTTCAAAAGTCATTAAGTTACTCAAAAAATATATTTTTAACTGTAATTAATTACTAAAATGGGGCATTTTATATACGTAATGTTTCAATAATTTTCTTAAAAATAAAATAAAATGGCGATTCATTATAAAAGTTCTCCACGCAGCTATTTTACCGTACAACTCTGATTTAATTTGAGAAATAGTGATTAGGCACTACAAGTATCTGAATAACACTTGATAACGCTACTAAATGTGATTAATTATACAGCGAATCAGGGTTCAAAACATAATACGACGGACCAAATTTCTCAGGAAAATTGATATATTTATATGAGTAATTACAAAAAAGGACCACTTATATTTTTCAATACAAATAAGGGTTTTTTTTCTACCTATTCAGTGGCAAAAGATACAACACAAATACTATGCATAATGTTTTATTCTTATTTTTTTTAGCATGTACATAAACGCAGTTATAACGATGTTATGTTTTTGTTTTTCTAGTTTTAGGTAGGTTGGGTTAATTTCGTATTACAAAAAATTACAACCATCTATGCGATGGGGGTAGTTTAGTAGTATGTAGATTCATAGTGAATTATTTTAGCTAGAACAAACAACATCGAGTAATTTACACGTATTGATCAGTTACTATTATTCACAGATAGGGAGCGCACCGCGGCTGCAAGTTAGTGCGTGGCGTGTGTTAAACTCGCGAAATTATAGTTTCTAAAAGGTTTTTATAGTTTTATTGTTTTTAGCTATCATAAAATAGTACTTACTCTAAGTTCCTAACATAAAGCGAAATGTCTTGCAGGAGAATGCTGTTTAAGATTGTTTCTACTCAACGAAGGGGCAGAGCAGAACTATGCACTCTACCTTCCCACTGGGAAAGCACAGCGAAACTGAAATGGCCCAAATTTAATGCCGATTACCTTTGTAAAAACGAAAATGCTCAACCTAGTCCGGATTGGATTTCAATGAATTGTACCTTAAAAAGAAATAATTTTACAACCTTTGAAGATGCAGAAGAAGAGTTATCTAATATGACGTTATGTGTAGACCATAGTGTGTACAATACGTCGTCTCTGGAGTTTGCCTCCAGCTCACTAAAATTTTAAATATATGCGAGTTTGAGAAATCATCCCCAAGAAGGCTTACTGTTTTTTTAATTTAGTAATTATAAGATTGAACGGATTTTTTTAAATTTGAGAAATAAAAGAAATTTTGATAATTTTAAACGCTTTTAATTATAATAAGTAACTTCACGAACAAAATTTCACATAAAAAATGAAATTCTCTTATTGATTTTTTCAGTGCGACTTGTGAAATATTTTTACTAAGAGCCCATTTTTTAATTTCAATAAAATTCACATCTGATTTATCTTCACTAGATGCGGAAATATTATCTTCTGAATTCTGTACAAAATCTATAACGGCATTATTTGAAGGTACAGAACTCCCTTTAACTGGATCTGTTCGGACTTGACTCAAATTACGACTACCTAAGCTCGCTCTCGTAGTAAAACAATGTTTTAAACGTCTTTAATTCACTTACTACCCAGAAAAACTCGTTATAAGTTCTTTAAAAATGGTATTTTTACAAGTAATTGCGGAATTAAAATACATCATTCGACTTCCATCTGTGTTACGTTAGCTATAAACTATGACTTTATTTCCCTTATACCAAAATAAGCTCTATTTAGAACACAGAAAATACTTTTATACAGTAGTTGAATAATTGATAAAATGTGGAACCTTATATGACTTGACGGCAAAATAAAAGCTGTTATTCAAAATACAATGCTAATATTCCTTTCATTAGAAATTACTTACACTCTTATTCAGAAGACAGCTGCCGTGGACACAGTTTTACAGAGTATGGTGGTTTTATAAGCAATAAGTTGAGAAAAGTTTGTTTATTAGTATTAGATAATTACGTTTATTCAGCTACTTATACTATTATACAGATAAATGCTGACCCGGGCAATATTTTTCAAATTAAAGTCACCTGTAATGCTTTAGGCTTAATAATATCTGCGTTTTATGCTGTACAGAAGTTATTACTAAGCTTTAAAAATAATAGTCGACCTTAATACAACTTTTATCAAGCATAAATGGCTATTAAGGCAGAAAGAGAAAATTATTCAGAATTTGGCTATTTCAATAGCCTTTCCTCACACGTTATGGAGCTTATATCTGTAAATATTTTCGAATTACTTTTACTCAAACACTATTCAGCATGTCTGTGTTACTTGGGATTGACCTAATAGACAGCGCAGTAGTTTTACTTAAAATTAGTCAAATTCAATACTTTTATCCAAATGTCAAAAACTTTGTTGTTTTTATAAAATTTGAACTAAATCGCAATTTGCGTACGTCGTAATATTTGTGCATCAAAAAACTTACATAATATTACAAGTATATGTGTGTAATGTTTTTAAATATTTTATTGTATTGAAAAGTCGAAATAATTTATTTTTGATAAAGTACCCAATTTCAGTCTCCATATTATAACACCTACCTACTAATTGCCTTGGCTACCTCCTACCTACCTTTGTAAATACTATACCCTATATTCTAGGTGAACTTATACGGCACGCAGCCATTCTACCTCGCAGTGGAACACGACGGGAAAAGTCACGGCATGCTTCTACTCAATTCTAACGCTATGGGTATGGTACACCCTGTATATAATGCACTTTTGTATATAGATTTTAGTGTTGTGAAATAGATCTTATGCTTTTGTAGTAAAGGTTGAGTTTTGTTTTGTTTGTACAGCGTAGAATAGTTAATTTGGTGTGGGGTAGTGGATTAACGTTATTGAAATCGAATTAAATAATAAGAAGGAACTTATTAGATTGTGTTGTAGGCTTATCATTGCTTCTTTAATCGGAAATAGGTGAACTATAAATAAGTACTTGTGAAATGAATAAGTAATTGCGTATCTAAACCATATTGATCAGTCTTTTGAACGTTGCGCTAAACTATGGTAGAAGATTGCGCAATATGCGCATAATTAAAGTTGACTGTAGAAAACATTTTAAACCTTTTCCTTTTTTTTGCAAATAAGCTACATTTCAACTTAAACAAATCGTACACAAAACAATGCATGATAATAAATCCTAATCAACGCCGAGCTTCAAAAGAAGATGAAAATTTTTGCGCAATTTGCGCCGAACTAAAGTTGACTATAGAAAACATTTTAGAGCTTTTACGCTTATCATTTTCAGCCTTACAAATTCCTACAAGAAATAAAACAAAAAACCTAAATAAATAATTGCATGTTATCATCGCCGGTCTTCTTAAAAAGCCGCGCTATATTAAAATGTATATAAAACCATAAAAAATTACTTTCAGACGTGGTTCTCCAGCCGACTCCAGGCATCACGTATAGGACAACGGGTGGTATTCTAAACTTCTTCGTGTTCCTCGGACCCTCGCCTAAAGATGTCGTAGCTCAGTATACTGAACTGGTTGGAAGACCATTCATGCCTCCTTATTGGTCGCTTGGATTCCATTTGTGCAGGTAAGAAAAGTGTTCATTTTGAAGATCAAAATTATTATTATAGGCTTGTTTCTGACCTCATATGAACATCCTGAGCCATTCCAGTGTTGGATTTTAAGTGTTCCTGCAGAAGACTGGTTTGATTAATACTTAAGATAAAAAACAACTGAAAAAACAACCCCTCACTATACAGGTTTTTTTTGTTTATATGTTATTATTGTCATTGTTTTAAGTCAATGTCAAAGTCTAAACATTTATTTCAATTACACCCTTACAGGCTTAAATATCAATCAAACTTAAAGAGAAAAAGTGTCAGTCTGTCCTCTTAGTGAAGCTATTTGCTCGTTCCGAAGTGTAGATTCGGATGGAGAAGAACTCTTCTTCAATTAGTTTTACAGATTCTTTATTACATTTTTAAGTCGGTTTTATTATGTGAGAACAATTTTAATAGTACTTTTTATATATTATTTCAATTTTATTTTTGGGTTTACATACTGTGTACCATCTTTCGATTATGTGTGAGTGTGTGATCAATGAAAAAAAGGGATAAGCGGTAACTACCTTTGGGCCTGATTGTTTTGTTTTTCCTATATTTTGAAACCTAGTAATTTTACAGTAACTGATATTTTTTTCTGATTTTAGGTTTAATTACAACACAGTGAATGCTACCAGAAGTGTATGGAAAGCGAACAGGAATGCTGGGATTCCTTTTGTAAGTTTTTTAACTGTTTTATTTTGTTATATTCTTGTTAGAAATCATTCTAAATGATGATATTTACTATATGCTACTTGTATACATATATCTATACTAATATTATAAAGAGGTAAAATTTGTAAGTTTGTATGTAGGGGGTAATCTTTGAAACCGCTCTGGTCGGATTGCCAAAATTCTTTCACTGATAGATAGCTACAATGTTCCTGAGTGCTATAGGCTGTAAAACATCACGCTACGAGAAAATGGAGCCGAGCAGCGGGTGAAACCGCGTAAGAGTAGCTAGTCTTTTCTATTTGAAATACTGTTAGATCGGTACTGTTTTTATGTCATGGGTCGGCAAACGAGCAAACGGATTACCTGATAATAAGCTTATGGCGCCGCCCATAGACACTCATAATACCGTAATAATAATAAGATGTTATTACAACAAGTACGTTACAGACCTCATATGGATTATTTAAGGATAGGTAATATAAGGATGGAAAATGGGGGGAAAGGATTGGGCTTCTAGTAACCTTAATCACACGGTGAAACACAACGTAAGTTTTACGCCGGTTGGCGAGGCCGTGGTATCACTCCGGTCCAGCTTACGCATTCAAAATTATTCCAAAAACGAACTAAACTGCACTCTGTTAAGAACAACAATGAAATCAGACTCAAAGGTCTCACTATGGTTCCAATAGTAATAAGATACTTTTTGTAGGACGTGCAATGGAACGACATAGACTACATGCACGACCACAATGACTTCACGTACGACTCGAAGCGTTTCGCGGGACTGCCGGACTTTGTGAAGGAGGTACATTCTGAAGGGATGCACTATATGATTATTATTGGTAAGTAATAGCATTTTATCTCTACATAGTATAAAACAAAGCTTTCTCTGTCCCTGTGTCGCTATGTATGCTTAAATCTTCAATAGTCCAGTCAGTTCATCAGTTTTTTTAATAGATAGAGTGATTGAAGAGGAAGGTTTATATGTACAAATACGAAAACGTATATCGAAACTACAATTTGGAACGAGCACCTAGCTTCACTGACGAACAGACTGACAGACTACTATTCTATTTTGACGTTTCAAAAGTACCTATTTGGTTTAGTTGGAATAAATGATTTTGATTTGATGATTTGATTTGACAATAACATCCATTATTAAAATCAGTAATGCACCCGTGCTTGCAAACTGGGGCGGGTTGCTAGTTTATTTATATAGGAGAGGCAAATCAACAATATATATTTTTACATATGGTTAGTCATAATATTGATGCAAAATAAATACTGATATGCATACAAATTAAACATATACAAACCATTCACAGTGTGATAAATTTTATGTGTAACAATATTATGATAGATTTGTTTTTGTTTTAATAACTATCGACAGATAAGTAATTTTTAAGAGACATATGTATAAAAACTCGGGCTGGTCCTAAGAACAAGGCCCGCTTTTCATGCATGTGGTTCTAAAACCTGAGCTACATAGATATATTATATTGCATATACCTTCGAAGTTTATTATAAGTAAAACATCGTGAGCAAACCTGGATTCATAATTTTTTATTTAAACTTAGTGCTTAAAGCTGTAATAAATAAATAAAATGTTACAGATCCAGGAGTGGGTGCGTCAGAGAAACCAGGCACCTATCCTCCATACGACCGAGGTGTCGAAATGGATATATTCATTAAGAACTCCACCAATCAGATACTTATTGGACAGGTGAGATATTTTACTGGATATCTATTAAAGGAACATTCATACTTTATTTATTTATATGTTACGGTTAACAAACCAGTTATATTAGCATATTATATATTATAATATAAATCACAATAAATACACATTAACCAAGGTTCAGGAAGTCAGGGAATTGAATAATGATGTGGACTGTAAGTATTTAGTTTAAAATGAAGTATATTACAAGGTAAGAAAGAAAGTAGGTGTACAGAAATGTTAACTAAGGGAGACAAGTGTCGGTCAAGCCGTCTGCGGGCGTCGGTGACACCAGTCCACATGATCATACGATTAATGCGTGAACAAACAATTCGTTTGCAAGAGCTGCGGAAAATTTTATTATTTTTAAATCATCAGCAAATAAAATCACTGTTCGGGTCGGCTTCCATGAGGTCATTAAGCATAAACGTAGAGAAGAGCCGTAATACAGGGAACTGGGAATGAGGCGCAGCTTTTGACCTATAGTCGGAATTTTAATTCGATTCCAGATTTGACATTAGCCACTGTCATTTTGTGAAATAATAATACCACATATAACAGTAGTGATGAGTACAAAAATCGATAAACAATCAGTGAATCAGTTTCAGGAAGACATTAAAAAAATTTCAGATACCGAATGGTCTAAATGCGTATCCCATGCTGTCAAAGAAGAGGAAATTAGTAAGCCAGATATGTTAATTGACAATAAATATCACAGAAACAATTCATAATAAATGTTACAGAAAGTAACAGCGATAGCGAAAGCGATAACGTCGACAATTTATAAAATAAATATTTACCATAATTATTAGATCACATATTTCATCACAAGAAGAAGAATAACAGAAAAGCATCAGATTATTTATTGATTGTCAAAACTAAACTATCGGGTTAGAAATGTTTAATTTCCTGATAAACTTTGTTTACGACAGTAAATTTATAAACAAGAGGAATCGATTCAAAATATTCCATTTCCATATCGAATAATTTTGCAACGTCACTATTTAGTTTATTACTTGTCATAACGTTGCGACACTGAAATTGTCAAATCCAAAACATATTAAAATTCCGAGTATAGTGGTTGGTGTTTTATAGTTATATTATAACCTATAAAAATATTGCATTAGTAGTCTAGTGTTCATTTCACAATAATTACTTTACATTTGGTATATAAAATAAGGAATAAAAAATGTCTAGGTATGGAACACTGGGCAAACGGTCTACCCGGACTTCACTCACCCGAACTCAAGCAGCTACTGGCTGGAGATGATGGCCAACTTCCACAAACATGTTCCTTACGACGGAGCCTGGATTGTAAGTAACTATTTACTAGTTTTTGTTTGTTAATTTTATAACTATGTTAGAAAGTTTGTTTGTGAATACATTAAAAAAATCACGCCTTTTTGATTTTCGAAGGTATGCGTAGAAGTCTATATCGACTTTTTATTAGTTACGAAATAATATAGGGCATTAAAAGGTGATAAAATTGGCTCAATGATCAATCGAATGTAGAACTTGTTTCATAAATTTCTCTTTTTTATTTAACTGTACCTGATGGTAAGCAGTCACTGCCTATGGATACATGCGAGGTTTTTTTGTAAGGGGAATATCAAATGACTTCTCTCTCCCAGGGTGAGGCAAGAGGAACTATCAGACTCTTACTAACTAAATACCCTATTTCATCTCCTTCTTCAGGCGTCTGGAGATATAGGGATTAAAGAGGGATGGGGGAAAGGCAGGCTTGGTTCTCAAGTAACCTCACTCATAGCAAAACATAACGCTCTGATAGTATAGATAGATTTCTATATCTATAATAGACTAGCAGTTGCTTGCGGCTCCATCAGCGTGGAGGTCGATTTTACACTTTCAAGTTTAAAAAAAAAAAACAATTATTCGTTGAAGTCGAGAGAAGGTTTGTATCTTCTCTGGATTTCCATTCAAGACGAATAAAATTAGCCAAATCTGCAAAGGCATTTTTAGTTTATTACAACGAAAAGTGTCATTGATTTTTATATATTTGTATAATAAATATATTTGTCAATTCTTGCAGGATATGAACGAGCCGTCAAACTTCCGCGACGGTACGGCAGTGGGTAGGTGCGCCCCCGAGAAGGTCCCGTACATGCCGCGGACGTCGGACCCCGCGCTGCGGACCCACACCGTCTGTATGGACGCCAGGCACTACGCGGGCGAACATTATGATCTGCATAATCTGTACTCCTTCACTGAAGCTGTTGCTACTTATTTGTAAGTCCAATTGCAGATTTCGTTTTTTTTATTATGATAAATTAATGAAAATAGTGTAGGTTTCTTGTTATTTATTTACGGTGCCGTCCATGGACTACTCCAGAGCAGTTAAAAGGGTGTTGCTCGGCCTAATAGGGATTTGGATTTCGGAGTCTTAGGGATTAGGTAGCAATGGGGAGAGGGGAAGGATTGGGCGCTTAACGGTGAAAAATAACGCTGCAGTGGTTTTACGCCGGTTTTTTTGTGAGGCCGTGGTATGGACCGATTCTTGCCGAAGCATGGCTCACTTAAAATAAAATAAATTCGTTTCAAAGTTTGGCTCTGCCACACTTGTTTTGCAATTAAGTACCATTTCAACTTTCAACAATATTATAGGACCCAATAATCTCCCTAGCTTCAAAAGAAGCCTGAAATCAGCATCCTATCCTAACTAGTTCAATAATAATACTAATACGAATGTATGTTCTGTACAGCTCGCTGGCAGAGATCCGCGGCAAGCGTCCGTTCATAATATCGCGGTCGACGTTCGTGGGCATGGGCAAGTACTCGGGACACTGGAGCGGGGACATCGCCAGCGATTGGCACGATATGAGGATGACTGTGCCTGGTGAGGAAATTAAGTCTATTTTATTTGTTCATCGATTCTGTAAAGTTCAGATAAAAAAAGCCTTTCATTGGCGTGTAAAATAATTCGTTTGACATTGTGACGACAGACTATGAAAATTTTCAGTTAGTGCTACTAAATTAGGTTATTTTTTCTTACGCGAAAATAGCAGAAATGACACTATTTTTTTAGGAGTTAGGTAGTATATATTTTGTCTTATAACATTTTCATTTATACATACAACATTTACATTAATATGTTATCTAATGACAGCTTTCGAGAAGTCATATTAATACCATGAAACCTATTAAAATTTTTTAAAATTTTCAATGAATAAAAATGTAGTGATTATCCCTATTATGTTAAATATTAATTTAATATTAAAAAATTTATTAAATATTAAAATAAATATTGTTTCTTCTCGCAACTCCACAGAATTGTTAAGCTTCAGCCTGTTCGGTATCCCGATGATGGGCGCCGACATTTGCGGGTTCCGCGGCGACACGTCCACCGAGCTCTGCAAGCGCTGGATGCAACTTGGGGCCTTCTACCCATTCTCCAGGAACCATAATGATGATAGCTCGAAGGTCATTCTCATCTATATAAAATACTAGCGGCCCGCCCCCGCTTTGCACGGGCCCAACTATCTCGCTATCAAAGTGTCACTTTTTCCTAATCTTCTCCTCAACTTTTCTAATATTTTCATAGATAAGAACCTTCTCCTGACAATAACAAACACAACAAAAAAAGAATTAGCAAAATTGGTCCAGGCGTTGTTGAGTTATGCGCTTACCAACATATTTTACGATCCATTTTTATATTTAAGAAGACTAGCTACTCCCGTAATAACACAGTTTCACTCGCTCTATTTGATCGTAGCGTAATCTTTATTAGCCTATAGCACTCGGGAACATTGTAGCTATCAATAAGTAAAAGAATATTGGGAATCCGACCAGTGGTTCCAAAGACCTCTTTATAATATAAGTATAAAAATATAGATAAATATGAACCAACGAAATGTATGTTTGTTTGTGCATTACTCGCGAACTACGCTAACAAAAATACAAGGATGACACGCAAAATCGTGAAGCGTTCCATATTTTTTGAAGGAGACTCGGGGGAAGGATGTATCTCAGTAAGGTGCTGGTAGGGGTCTTGACCGTACTTCCGGGATTGCTCTAATAGCCGTGGGATGCCTCTCCTTCCCCAAGCAGCTCAACGTATGTTGCCCCCGTGTCGCTACATGCTAGCGGCCGTTTCCGGGGGCCCATTAATTGAGTTTGCCAGTCACCCCCTGCCTGTTTATCCGTATGTATCAATATTGGTCAGGGGCAGGGGCCATAGTATTTCCATAGTTTTCATCCACTAGTGCATAGCAACCCATACCCATAACCCTATCAATTTTTACCACATTTCACAATAGTCCTGCATCAACCGGGGATTGTCTTTGGGTGCACTTTTATAGTGCATACAGGGATAATTGCCGGCTGGTGTCCCATAACATTTATATGGAAATTGTTCAACAGGCCTCTGCGAGTTGGCTTTGGCTCCTCGTACGCCTTAAAAAGGTCCGGGATTCTGTGATCCCGTGAAAGGAAACGAACAAACTTAATAACAATAAGTGTTATTTTCTCTCTTTAGCCTCAAGACCCGGTGTCACTGGGCCCAGAAGTAGTGGAGGCGAGTCGTCGCGCCCTGCGACTTCGCTATTCGCTTCTGCCGTACTACTACGCACTGTTCTGGCGGGCGCATGTCTATGGAGATACCGTCGTCAGGCCACTGTTCTTCGAGTAAGTTCTTGTAGTTCTATTTTTGCGTTTACAAATAGACACAAAGATTTAATTATTTTAATACCTTGGAAAGCTTGACGTTTCGATCTGGTTGTACAGGTCGTGGTCGCAATCACTACATACAATTTCATATATACCCAGACCCTATACAAAAGGATGTGGATCACAAGTGTTGTTCGTGCTGTAATGGAACCCGCAGCGTTGCCATTCAGTGTGTGTTGTAAAAACTTATTCCTTGGATCATTTTTTAATGTTTAATTTTCCACATGCAGGATGTTTATAGTAAGAAAGTCTACAATGGATTTGTATATAAATCACCATTTGCTTGTGAAGTAGTGTGCCATACCAAACTTTAGTTTATTAGCTAACATCGATTTAGGTAAATACCTGATTGTATACATTTTATATACAATTTTTATACAACTTTTGAATAAAAAAAGACATGCCAAGATTGTTATAACCTAAACCGATAGATTATAAATGATGTTATTTAAGAGTATATTAAAAAGCCACGGCGTTTAAGACGCCTGCTTCTCATGAATGACCTTTTCCATGTCAGAAGGGGCGAAATATAGACAACTAGCTTTTGCCCGCGACTTTGTTCACGTGGAAAAGTTACTTCCTGCAGATTTTTGGAATAAAAACTATCCTATGTCCTTTCTCGAGTTCCAAACTATGTCTGTACCAAATTTTACAGAAATCGGTTCAGAAGTTTAGGCGTGAAGAAAAGACAGACAGACAGACAGACAGACAGACAGACAGAGTTACTTTCGCATTTATAATATTAGTTAGGATTAACTAACCAATAAACTTCCCTCCTCAGAGCACCAGAACAAAACAACCTTCACGAGATAGACACACAGTTCATGATTGGTCCCTTCGTGATGGTATCTCCAATACTGCAACAAGGCGCGGTCACCACTCGCGCCGAGTTCCCGGGACCTCAGAGCTGGTACAACATCATCGATGGACAGTTCATTGCCAGCGATAAGTCTTATGAACTTATGGAGAATGAAACTGTGTCTGTTAAGGTAATAATAGGTTGATATATTTATAAATATAAATAAAATAAAGACATTTATAGAGTGGCAAACGATCACACAGATTATATATATATATATATCGGTTTTTTGATGATTAGGGATTCGGAGATTCAGGGATTGGGGATGGATTGGGCCTCTAGTAAGCTTACTCACACGGCGAAATGTAACGCTTTGGTTGTTTAACGCAGGTTTTCTGTAGGGCCATGGTAGTAGTCCGGTCGAGCCGACACATTTTTCGTGGACTCTGGGCGAGTCGGTGGCACTGAATGTGTTAAGAACAACAATGAAATCAGACTCAACGGTCACATTATGATTCCAATAGTAATAGCTGTTTTTTTGTTTTTGTAATAAGGTCGTACAACAGGACGACATAGACTACATTATGTTAATTTAATTAGAGTTTATTTTCCTTTAACAGGGCGGTGGAATAATACCAATGCAAGAGCCGCCGCAACAAGGCCCAGTCACGACAACTAACACGCGGAGTTCCCCGCTGCAACTACTGGTAGTACCTGATAGAGATAATCAGGCTAAGGGAGAATTGTACTGGGACGATGGAGACAGTTTGAGTAAGTAAATAGTCTATGTAATGCAATTTTTCTTTTATGTGATACGGCAACAGATGGTTGACTGATGGTAAGCAATCCGCGCGCCCCATAGACACCCGCAACAAAACAGAATCTGCTAGTGCGTTCCTGGTCTTATGGCGATAAGGGGTCCTGGGAATTCAGGGATTTGTGGAGGCATGATTGGTGTGAAGCGAAGTGAAGTCAGAATTATTAAATAAATTTTTAATAGCGACATTGATTAGTTATATAGGATCTCACGCTAAATTAAAGCTATTTGGTAAGCGCAAATAATTAGTCCTAGTTGTATAAGAATAATATGTTATAAACTTTTCTAGAACTGCAACTGTATTGAGACACATTTAAAGATTTTGTGTCGTTGGGTTTAGTAAACACCTAAAGAAGTTTAAATACCTACGGCGGTAAGTCTGTATCTATATTATTTTTACTCAATAATTATCTTTTTCTACAGACACATACGAAGAACAGAAATACAGTCACATAGAATTCTCACTAAACATCACGGAGATTCGCAGCACGGTGCAGTGGTGGGGATACGGCGTGCCATCCCTAAACAAGATCTCAGTTCTAAACCAACCACCGATCAAGATGGTCGCCATCAACGACCAGCCCTGCGTCAAACAATGCGAGTATAATTACAACACACAAACCAAAGTACTTCAAATAACAGCCAACTTGTCTCTAGACAAACCCTTCAACGTTAAATGGTATGAAAAATTAAAGACCCCTAGTCCTAATTGGAGAAGCTGGATGGGTAGCAAAAATAACCCTTAATTTTACGAGGATAAAGAAGTAGGTATACCTTATTGTATTTTTACGGGGTAATATTTTGGTACTTTGTGTGTAGGTACGTATGGTATGAGAATTTGACTTATGTTGTAAAAGCCTTTCTGATAATAGGGAATCTTACAGAGACTTGAACAAAAATTTTGTAATCAATAGGTACTTAAGTTGCGTTGATTGTTATCGTTATCGTTCTGTAGCCTGTATATACCTGATATTTTTGGGTTGAAGTCCTCATTTACTACCGAAAAAGTATTTTGGAATCATAATAATATATTAATACTTTACTGTTTAACGGAATTAACCACGTACTTGTTTTATTGGTTATTTGTATGAGGTTTCGGCAGGGTTGCACTTGCCATGGTCTGAAGCAGACTGACGCAACGCGAAAGTTTAATAAAGTATAATAATTTATTTTCTGGTCAGAGAGGCTTTTTCAACACACATAAAGGCATTGCATGTCAAGGTGTAATCTGTACCCAATTACTAAGTGTTTTTTATAAGAATACTCCTTTAAAATTAAGCTGACTTAAGTGATATTAAACAGTTCGGTTTTAACCAATCTAAAGGCAAAAAGCTAGTCGAAATCCAATTAGATAATTAATTATTGTAATGTAGAAAAAACGTTTCAAAATATCAATTTGAAACTACTTAAGCTAAATTGATAAAATATGCCATATTTAACTATGTATTGTATGAAAACGAATTGGGTAGTTTTCTGGGTCAAAAGTGAATGAAAATATGTAAGGCGAAATGAAAATATTTGAATTTATTGTCTATTGGTTTGAAGAGTTAATATTTCTAGTGTAGGTAGATATGCTGTTTGACGTGAAATCATTATGACGTCTGTTGCAGTATTGGGTGTGACATTTCTGTAAAAGTAATGCTCTTCTATGTGAGTGGGAAATTATTGTACATCCATCTTCAACCAGTTATTTTGATATAAAATCATGCAATTTTTGCGTATTAGGAGTTTCCTCAAATAAATATCACATAAATACTTTGTGTGGTTAAGAATGATGACAATCTAATTTTTATATGATTTTGAATATGAGATCATTCAAATTAAGTTTTTCTAACTAGATCTATAAGGTTTATTATTGATCGTCAGTTTCGTAATAGTCAAAGAGGATGAAGTGAAAAGCGAAGATCTCAAGAGAAAAGGCTTTTTTATATAAATTAATAGTAAGTCTGCGTTTAGCCACCAAATTTTCTGATGAAGATTGTAGATCCAATTGAATCTTTATATTTTATTTACTGTCGACCTAACCTTTCTCTCGATTTCTTGACTAGAATTTCAACTGTACAGTTCAATTATTTAAAGTCGAAAATACAATGAAAAGTATTACAGAATCAAGTAGGCTGTATATAGTACTATTACTCTTCCAGTTACAGTTATTTGTAAAATATTTTTTTACCAGTTAGCTAACCTCTTTATTTTATCCATAATTGATATTAAGAATAATCTCCACTCTCAAGCTTTTTACCAGATATATTTCTAGTTCATAAGATTTTACTGTAACTTTAAACTTTGACATATTCAATACTGTTAAACTATCCCTGGGCACAGTCCACATACGTTATTCTATTGTCTATGATGTTATAACTATTAAAATCTATTCTATTACTATGTTATGGGTGAAATAAAAAAATATTGTAGGTTTTCGAAAAATTGCTAAATGTGTGTTTTCTCTATGTGTTTTAGTGTAGATCAGTTTTTTCTAGAAAAATATTCTAATTGTTTTTCTCAGTTTTTAATTCTTCTAGCTCTTTTAATTTCACTTCATATCGTATTCTGGATTCATATAATGATATATGTCGAAATGGTTCCATTTTTGAAACCTTCTGCTTCGTTTGACTAGATATTAAAATAAGTTAACCCAATTTTCTATTTATGGTATTACTTAACAGTATCATGGAAATGAGTATTGTAATTGATATTTAAATAATGTTCCAAAGTGCTTCTAATCTACTTCAAAATGATATTATTGTATCAAAATCTAGATGTGTGGCGGAGTTCAAAATTCAGTACCTAACAGATTAATTGCAGTAAGGGCAGATTTTTCAATAGTCAGTCTATATTAAATGAGGAATAAAATTGTCGCTGTCACTGTTTATCTAAACATTGAAAAATCAGCCCTCAATAGTTTTAATTAGGAACTTCCTATCATCCTAACAAGTCCTTCATGTTTATCAGTGTTCAAAAATTTTGAATTTATCCACACATTGTCTATAGTTAAAACCTATGTGTATGTCTAGTCATAAGGTATATATTTAAACAACTGGGTGAATAGAATTTGTTGGGTGGATGAATAATAAATTCACTACTTCATTTTTCTGGATATGCAAGATAGAAGAAAATATCGAATTTTGTATTTATATTCACCTCTCGAAATCTGTTCACCCCATTTTACCATAAATAAAAGCTCAAATCGCATTGTATTCAGTGGTACCTATAGTTCCACCTCATAAAAATAATATTCACTATAAAGATGTTCTTGAAATAATTCTGATGTAAATCCCTACATCATTTACAGATCTTCTTTTGTGAGATTTGCAATGTAGATGGTATTTATTTATATTCAAATATGTACTAGCACCAATGACAAAATATTACAGCATTTTTTAGTATTATTTTTTACTGAAATTCATAATTGGTCTAGTATTTTATGTATTTGACATAGGACACATTTGTTTTGCCATATTTTTTTGTAATTTGTGATATGTTTTTGGACTTTTTTGTGATAGTTATGTTCCATTTTTGGCATACAAAATTATTGTGATAAAATGTAAATTGCACTATAGTGTGATTGATGCCAAAGTAGACGTGTTTACCATTGATTTTTGTAGTTAAGATTGCACTAATAAAAATGATAACGCACAATATTGGTTTGTTGTTTTAATTTGAATCTTAAACTTGTAACAATAATTCATTATTGCACTAAAACATAACAAAACACTATTTTCTCTAGTAACAGTTAATAAATAAAACAAAATTTTCAAATAAAGAACTATGTGTCTACTCCCTTCTCTTTTTCACCTTTCTCTTTATTTTCAGCATCCATTTCTAGGAATTTATTATATTGTTCTTCTGTCATTAAGTTTTGTAGTTCCTCTGCATCAGTCATTTGAACTTTAAATAACCAGCCTTTGTCATAGTAGTTAGTGTTTATAAGCCCAGGTTTACTTTCTACTTCAGTATTCTTTTCAGTAATAATACCGCTTACTGGTGAGTATATTTCACTAGCTGCTTTCACACTCTCCAGGGCACCACATTCTTCGCCTTCATGCACCATTGATTCTGGTTCCGGTAACTGTGCAAACACAATGTCACCTAGAGATTCTTGTGCGTACTTGCTAATGCCTACAGTGCCAATTTCTTTGTCTATTACAACCCATTCATGTCTGTCGGAATACAGTCTTGGTAGTTTAGTACTGTATTTTCGGTTGAATTGAGCGCAACTATTATTGCACTTCTGTTTGTTAGCTGACTGGAGTAAGCAGTTCTTTGTTATGTATTGTCTTGAGAGTTGTAGTACACATCTTTGAAATGCCATTTTATCTGTGGAAAATAACAATATGTAAGTTTTATGCAAGAAAAATTAAAAACAAATTTTGAAATATTTGTTGTTAGTGGGGAAGCAGATGAACTTGAGTCTAGTTATTTGGAATGTTCTGATAACATGGTAAATAGTACATATTTTGAGTTTGATAAGTAAATGGTATTCATTTAGATAGGTAATTTGTTTACACTGTGCAAAGACAAAAGGTCAGCTTATCTTAAAATTGAAATCGGTTTCAGACTAATAAAATCAAGATGAGGTTATTTTAACCTGAAGAATTTTCACGATTAAAAACTGGAGGGCGGAGAATTTAGGGGGCTAGGATACCCAAATAATTAATCAATTTATAGTTAAATATCCTTACATGGAATTGTAAAGATCTAGACTATAATACCACAGGGAAGTTCCAAGTAGATTCTTGCTTAAAACCCGTTCTGCCTTATAATATTTTAAATCTGTAATTTTAAGAATATGTTTTTATTTACCTGGCGAGTACTTGTTGTCTTGTTCTAAGCTTTGCAAATCTTGTTCAGTCAGTTATTTATAACAACCGGCTGATTGCGACTCCCCTAAAACGTTAAGGTTATAATTAAAATAGACGAAAAGAGATGAGACTTTTTGTAATCAGATTTATGTTAATTTTTGTCCACAACTGTAACGCAAGTATATTTTGTAATATTATTTTTTTATGCAAGATTTTTTATTTTTATAAGGGAATGAAATTGGAAATCTGTCAGAATTTCAGAACTGATTGATGACTGCTTTCATTATTTTTTTGCCGGTGTACCTACCCAATTTACGGATTAAGGAAAAAAACTATTTATAGTTTGCTGTTTGTGCACAGCAACTAAGTTTATAATTTTTGTTAGGTTTATTACATTAAATTTTTTGGTATTTATTTAAAAAAATAATTTCTGAACGGTTTTGTGTTGCCTCTTAAGTGAAGAAATTAGAGAAACAAAGAGATAAAAATATTCATTGATTCTTATTTCAATAAATTGCACTTTCAACACTCACAATAGCCAAATTAAATTACATTTATTTTAAAACTTTAAAACAACCAGTCTTTTAAATGGCTTTATTCTCCATTTAAGGTAACACTTCCGCTGTCAAATTGTGAATGATCACAGACGTCATACAAACAAACGTCATTACTCGCTTAGCCATGAGTGAAAGATGTCAAACGAAGCTTTCAGAGAAATTTGATAATAAAAATTATATTATTTATTTCGGTATTCTATGTACGTCGATCGCAATTTTATATTTTTACAGGTAATAATACTACTTTCCTATTCATGAGTGTGCTCTGCGAGTTATATTGCAATGTTTCAAAACTTTTTTCAGATTTCACTTTGCCACAATAGCATTTAGCTATGTGTTGGGATGTCTGGCTTGTTATTACATGCTCAATTCGAGTATTTTACACGATTATATTGAAAAATTAAAGTGCCATTTCGTCGGTGAGACGAGCAAAGATGAGGGAAAAGCGCCTGTCAAAGTGAGTGAGCATACCTTTTGTTTACTATTTATTTGTTATAGAAAACTCGTTATTTGCTATTGAGGTCATGTACGCCTCCTTGTTCATTATTGAAATTATTTGATAAGCAATTATCTTAAAAGTAATTATTGGATACAACCAAGAAAACAACAAAGTACTGTTTTGTTTGTTTTCATTAAAGTTTCTTTAACTTTAATTGGTTGTATTTATTTACTTAATTATTGATTAACTATTTGCTTGGTATTTGTTTTTTAGTTGTGTATCAAGTAATGTATTAAAGTGTAGGTAACAGTATAACAAGTTCTACTTCTAACTTCTTAGTTAAACTGCTTATCAGTTAACTAGATCTTATCTTTAAGTGTCTTTATTCAGATAGAAGTAGGTTTAAAGATACTGGTTACTGTGTAAGTAGGTAGTTAAAAGAATAGTTTATGTTGCCACTGAGATATTTAACTTAAGGGACATATAAGTTGTCTCTGAGTCACAGTATTATGTAAATAAATCATTATTAATTAATTATTATGTCTGTGAGTTGTGATATTAATGATATAGACATTTAGTCTGATACCATTATTTTCAAAACTAGCTATCTAAACTAGTTTTAATTTAATAACAAAACCAAAACCCCTATCATTATTAATTGAGGTCAAAGTGCACATTATCAATTTATAGACCTGCTATCTGATCTGATTTTAATTTCTTTTATCTACATATGTAACAGATAAGATATCTGATAGGACTGATGTATTGGTATTCTCATCTAACATGGAAGTAATTAAAATTATGCATATTAAAATAAAATAACTAATGATAATAATAACTAATGAATAGTGAATATGTGTGTAGGGACACCTTTTCATTACTTTTTTATTAGTTGGAGAATTTTTCTATAGTTTTACTTTGATCAAAAATATATTGATGAAAAATAAAGAAAATAAAGCTTTAAAAAAATTTACATACTCACAATTTTAAGGTTGATTCAATATTTGCATATTTCATTTGTTTTACATTAACATTAAATTATTTAAATGAAGCTCTAAACAAATACTATGTCAATAATATATTTTTTTATATTTATCTTATTCACAAATTGTTTATAAGTTAGCCTTTTCTCAAATTCACACATAATAATATTACAAAATAAAACATTGTACTTATGTATATGTTTAGTCATAATTTCTTGAATAAATCATAATTGGCAGTTTCCTTGAAAGTATGAGGGGGCAGGAATGAGTCATCTCATGATCATATGATTATCCAAATTGTTCAAGTGCCTTATTAGTCATCATTTATTTTGTTTATTGTGCTTGTGACTAATCTTATTTTTCTTAATAATTTATCTTCATTATTGTTCTTTAATGCCCGGTTCCTATAATTGAGAAACGATCCGTTTTAGTTACGAATAGTAGTTTTATATACGATTCGTAAGCAGAAACCGTTCCTATAACAAACGTCTCGTCGTGCAACTTACTGACGGTTTGCAACTAACGGATGTCGGTAAGCGAATTGTATGGACATCTATGGTGTCTGTGGTGTCTGTGGTGTTCCTATAAATATTTTAACCGTCAGTAGACTGTCAAGATAACTATTCGTAATGTCATTTGGTCGTAATGCGTATACAACGACGATTCGTTAAATATAGGAACCGGGCATAAGTAAATCCTATGATAAAAATATATGAATAAATATACAGGCTTCATAGAGTTCAAACACACAATAAAGACTAATCAAAAAATATATACCACTAAACTTTTTTAACAAACTTACTTAAAATGTTTTGTCGATTTATTTTAATATTGTTTACTACTTGAAGTAGGTGGCCAGACTAGAAGCACAAGTAGACAATTGAACCAAATTGTCGCCCTTGATTTTCTAAATCATCTTCCATGGTATTTTCGCCATTTTCAATAGCAACCACACCACTGTCGAACCAACAATGATAGGTCGGTTATTCGTCTATTTTAGCTTTCCTTAATAAAACGTCATAACTTTAATCAAAAGCCTTTAAAATGTTTCTGAAAACCTAATACCACTTAAATGATAACATTGACATTATTTTTTTTACTCTGAAATAGTAATTTGTCTGTTTTTGCAGGGTTGCGAGACTTGTGGGTCGAAGGACTGTGAAAGACATGACTCCAGTGTGGCCGCAGACCCCTGGATAGGGTTACAAATACACAAACAGTTGGATCAGGCTATAGAGGATGTGAGTAGTTGTATATTTTTACTTGAAATGTTATTATCGTAACAATATTTAGGGTTTATTTTTTAAGCGTAATAATATATCGCGGAACTGCTTGGTGCAAAAAAAGAAATGGGGTGTTTGTCAGTCAGCAAAAGCCTGACTCTCCATCTCAACCAACCCGGGCGAGAGAAGACATATAATGTTTATTCTCTCCTCAAAAAAAAAAAAAAATCCGTGCAATTATACGAATCTTGTATTATTTAATTCTAAAGACTAGGTATTGAAGGTCAAGTTATATTAAATAGAAGATAAGCGAAACAATAGCGAGTCCAAACCAAAACAATTGAATATGAATAGGTGAAGTCATCTCTAATTCTGAATCCAATGACACTTGTAATAAAAACTAATGTTACATAAACTTTGTAGTGAAGTGTAGTGGAGATGCATAAGTCATTTTTTTAACTTTGTCGCACAGTATGATTTCTCCTGTGTTGTAGGTGCGTTTACAGACATACAATACACATCATACCCAGACTCGGAACAACAATTTGTAGATCACACAAATAGTTCTTCCGTGCGGGAATAGATTCCGCGACACGTTCTGTGGTAGCCAGTGGCCCAGCCACCGCACCAACCATGCTGTCAATCAAATATATTTAGTTAATTATATGAGAGACTGAAAAAGAGGCTTATAAAAGTCACCGTTGCCGTAAACGCAGTAACTTAGCGATTGTTAACTTCACTATAAAATCAATTTATTTTTGTAAATAGACCATAAAATTGCACTTTTACACGTCAAGATATCTTTTTTTGAATAGGAACTATCGTGACAAATAGAAAATTTATTGTTAAAAACGACTTACTCACGTGAATGAAACGAGAAAAGCTCTAATACTTTCAAGTTACAACGGGACTCTTGTTTATGAGAGGCGTGCGTATCGCGGCGACACAGCAGCGATGTTTTTCTTAGCAGTTCATTATCGTCAAGACTCATCACAGAGAAGATGTAAAAAAATTGCTAGATAAGGTTAAAAACATAGATAGAGAAGATATAAAACATTGCTAGATATAAACATTGCTAGGTTAAAAACATAGATATTATATATTAAAACACTAGATTTCCTATAAAATACTCTGAGAAGAAATGCCGAAATAAACTCAGAGGTTACTATCTTTTAAAGTCTGGCAATGTCTTGCGGTTTTAAGCGCACGAATCAATTAATATTTGATTTGCATGATTCCAAATTGTTGTTCCGAGCCTGGTTGTGATGTTTATGTAGAATTATTTGCACTAAAACTCTACGTTACATAATAACTAAATACTATAATGTTATTAATACGTCTCTGCTTTTAAAAGTACCTTTGCATATTGTGACGAATTGCCAAGCATAATATGGCTATCAAAGTAAATTGTAAAATATTTTAAGCTATATAATCGACTCTTTTAAATATACGTAAGTTAGAAATATTTAACAGTACTTATTTTGCCGCCATTATGTAATGTTTTAAAAGCAATCTATAAAACTTTTCCGATACCGAGTGACTAACTCATTGACTGGTATCAAAATCAAACTCCTAGGAAGCCATTGAGTTCCACCTTATTTTCTTATTTTCACTTAGTAGTCCTCGCAGAGGGGCAGGCGTTTTGTTCAATTAATCCATTAGTATGACGACAAGTTTTTTTTTATTTAAAGTTATAACCTAGCCTTGTTTGGTTTGCTGGGGTTGCGGGTTAATTAGTCACCGCGGCCTCGGCCCTGAGTACGAGAAGGAACGGGGGGAGGGGGGGGTCCTGATACCCTCCCCCCCCCCGGTTTAGTCAGTACGAGTCTGACACTCTCTGTCGCCTAACCCTGGGCGGGAGAAGTCATTTGATGATTTCTCCTGGCAAAAAAACCCCTTGTTTGGTTTTTCGTCCCAAACAAAATTTCATCCAAATTATTCGAACAGTTTTCGAGATCTTACTTTGAACGTCATGGTTAGACTTGTGTGTACAAAGTGGACTTAATGTCACAGAGTTTCTTTGCCTGTCTATCCTTCGGGTGTCGTAGAGAGAAGTTAACGTTAACATTATATTAATAGCAGAATTGCTCATTTGTAGGTATTGGATGACTCTTTGACTTTTTTGACTATTTTTTTTAATTGACCACATACATATATTTATTTATAAACTACAGTTCTACAACACAATACTGGACCAGTTCATAAACTCATGGTACAGCAAGGTGACACTGCAGCCGTTCTTCGTGGACGAGCTGCGGTACCAGCTCAGATATGCGTCCGCTTGTTTACTGCAGAGAGCTATTAAGGTAATTATAATTTATTATTTGCATCAAATTTAGGAATACAGTATGTGCTATTAAGATTTTTTCTAACGCTCTGTCTCTGTTGTATTGGATAATTTATATTTGACTGAAAATGGCGACATACATTTTAATAATTATATGTTTATTAAAATTCAAGAATTTAAATTTAGTTTTTACATTTTAATTTAAAAAAAGATATTAATAATTCACGGAAATAATAATCTGTTATAACTCACAAGGTATTTAAGACCCAGGTCAACCATTATTTGTAAAACTTTGCCCCCTCTTCCAATGACTGAACCTTCTCTTCCAGATAGACTACGCCAAATTCATAACGTCCCGGTTAATACCGTGTGCGTTACGTCACTACTCAGTATGTGCGTCACGTCCGGGGGTGGCGCTAGATTCCAAGATGGCGCTACATCCGGCCGCCGCCAATAGGAACGCAGAATTAAAGTATTTAAGATGTATCACGAACGCCATAATGCCGTATTTATTGAAGAATAATGAGTTGCAAAATTCGTGAGTATTTAATTTGTATGTATTTACATATCTATACTAATATTAAGATCTATATTTGTAAGTCTGTATGTAGGGGGTAATCTTTGGAACAGTTGGTCGGATTTCCAAAATTCCTTCACTGATAAGTGGCTACAATGTTCCTGAGTGCTATAGGCTATAAAAAATCATAGTATGCCCAATAAGAGCCGAGTAGCGGTGACATCGCGCTGCAGTAGCTAGTTATTTAATATGTAGGTCTCATAATCGGCTTTATCTTTGCCGCTAGCGAGTTCAATTTTGTACTTTGAATTTAATTATCATGTTATTAGATTCCATAATACTCCCCCCATCCCAAATCATCGTCGTCTCGGACCGTCCGATACGAATCATTGCATGTATGGTCCATGTACGGCACTGATTTTTTTATATCAGGTGATCCATTTTGTCTAACTATCCCATAAAATTTCATTTAAGTGTAAAAATTTTTAACAATGTTATCGATAGCAGTCGCACTTATTTATTTTGGACAACTAGTAGTTGTTACATTTATACTTATGTCTAAAACCTTAAGGTAGTAATTTATAAGTTATACTATTGTTATTAATTCTTGTTTTTAAGGAGGGTAGGGGAATCATTCATTATTTCTCCCGCCATAGGTGGAGTGAGAGGGAGTGAGACAAAAATCACCCCGTTCTCTCCTGCTCTAGGCCGAGGCCCCGGAACATTATTCCGCATTCGTTAGTAAGCTGACGCCTTGTTAGAACACTTGTTACATCTTTACAAGGTGCAAATTAGAACTACTTAGCACTACAGAATTGTTCAATGTGATAATTGCATTCAATATCTCTATATACGTTTGTGAATCGTAGTTTATGGCGTTTTTTACCTTATGTGTGAACAGTAATAAGGTATAATTTCGGTATTTCTTTAGAGGTAATCTCAAATTTTGCGTTACTTGATAGCGGAGTGGTGTTTTGTCGAAAGAACAACTATAAGGTTATATTTTAGGTTTGAAGGAAATAGTAAATGAGTGCATAGATTGATTTAAGTCTAACTCAATTCCAAAAACTCTCGGACTTATTACAAAACAAGGTTTTACTTTAGTCTAGGACTAAACCATTGAGCCAGTTTTCGTATTTCGAATTGGAGGTAGATGACAATAAGATTCAAAATTCAAAACCCGACTCAATGGTTTAAACCTGGACTAAAGATAAACCTTGTTTTGTAATAAGGGGTTCTATGTTTACTTATGAATCCTAAAATTTACACCAAAGTCTACTAACAAGTTCGATTTAAGAACTAACCCTTACATAATACGCATTTCTTGTAGTAAATTGCGATAATGGTACCAATAAAGCAAAAACATCTTTATCGCCAATCGTCTAAAGTTCACATTTTCTTGTTCCAGTGTATTTCGTGTGTTAATAAGAGAGATATTCGCTGGTTGGGTGCTATTGTCTCTGACTGACGTATTGGCCGAGCCTTACATACTGAATACTCTCATTATACTGGCCACGGGTGATGAAAAAATGGCACAGTTGCCTTCTACGCCTAATTATAAGGTAAGTTTAAAAAGATAAAACTTTTTTATAAGTAACTTAAAACTTTATAGAGAGAGCCATGCTTCGGCACGAATGTGTCGGTTCGACCGAAGTGATACCAAAAACCGGCGTGAAACAACCACAGCGTTGTATTTCGCCGTGTGAGTAAGGTTACCGGAGGCCAAATCCTTCCCCTCCCCCAACCCCTAAATCCAAATCCCTAATCCCCAAAAGGTTGGCTATTGTAACTCCTCCGTTGTTGCGGGTGTCCATTGCTTAACATCAGGTAATCCGTAGGCTCGAAGTGATATTGATTGAAAGAGAGTAACCATAGAGTTTCTCGCTCGTTCTTCTCCATTGGAATCTACACTTTGCACGAGCAAATATCTTCACTAAGAGGACTGACCGACAGACTGTGTTGTCCACCTTTTGGGGATTAGGGATTTCGAGATTTAGGGGTTGGGGAAGGATCGGGCCTCCGGAAGGCTCACTCACACGGCTAAATACAACGCTGTGGTTGTTTCCGCCGGTTTTCTGTGAGGCCGTGGTATCACTTCGTTCGAGCCGACCTATTCGTGCCGAAGCATGGCTCTCCCACACGTATTACATGAGACTACAATTGAAGAATGTCCTACAGGTAGAATTCCTAGAAACGTTCGTCCGTCAGACGGAGTCGATGTACAGCCGGCGCTGCAAACTGCTGAGGCTGGAGCTGGACCTCGTGATCAGTGACCAGGAACTGTTGTACGCCTTCATGCAGTACATGAAGACCACCAGCCATCTGCATCTGTTACAGTTCTATAACGATATCAGTGAGTATTTAGAATGAGGAAATGACTTTGAAAATGATATACGGATAGAATAAAAACAAAGGTTATCGAATAGAATATAAAAATAATAAGATAGATATTAGTTTATTAAGTAAATTACTAATTAGGTGATTTTTCAATAGTCAGATAAATGTAAAGATAGGAATTAAAATGTTGCTGTCACTGTCTTATAGGAACATTCTGGCGCGACAGCATCATAATTATTCCCTAGCTAACTTTTATCCAACCATTGCAAAATCAGCAACGGTCGGTGTAACGCAATCGTAACTCCGTTTGCCGATTTATCACATAAAAAAAAAACTGTATTTTGTTACAGAATCATTCCAAACAAAAATCCTGAACCCCGAGCTAAGCGCGTCGGAGGAGGAGTCCCTGCAGCGCGCGGCGCGTGCGATGTACTGCGCCTACCTGGCGGACGGCCCGCCACTACTGGCGCCACATCTACACCACGACCTGCGGGACTTGCTGCAGCATCATAATACTATCAACGAGTACGTATTGTGTTCTGTTTATAGATCGCTATTACTTCACTAGCGTTTCGTGCGATTTTTCCTATGCCAATGGCAAGCAAAAATGAGGGTTAAAGTTTTTGTAAATTGGTGTGGAAATCGGTTCGTGCGTTCTGGAGTTATAGCGTCAGGAAGGAAAATCCAACTTATTTTTATATAGTAGATAACAAACTGAATGAAGGAATCATGGTTGAGAGTCCCGTTTTTATGACTTAAAACTGTAGAACTTTACTCAGTGAATTCAGTCGAGAAGGTAATCTATACAAGACTTATATTATACAGAGGTAAAATTTGTAAGTTTGTATGTAGGGGGAAATACTTGAAACCACTGGTCAAATTTCCAAAACTCTTTCACTTATTGATAGCTCCAATATTCCTGAGTGCTATAGGCTATAAAACATTACGCTACAATCAAATAAAGCTGAGCAGCGAGTGAAACCGCGCGGGAGAATCTAGTTTTCAATAAATTGCATTTGAAACTCTATACTTCAATTTATTTATATTCGATTATTTTAATAAAAAAAATACGACTTTATACAAGTTTGTACTATGTAAATCAATTATGTAAAACGATTTAAAGATGAATTTATTTACATAAAATCTTTTTTGTTTTCAGATTCCAAACCAGTCGAGCCCTGTATCAGGCGGCGCGACAATCACATTCTGAATTAGAAAAAATATGGCTGCCTAAGTTTCTACATAGTGAAGAGGTAATTAACGATTTTCAAAATGTTTTTTTATAGTTTCCAGATTTTAAAGATAAAAACTACTTTCTTTAGTTATTCTTCACACAATTTGTGACACTCATTTAAATTCTCCACTTAAACCTTCATATAATAATTATATGGAATACAATTTAAAAGTTTTGAGCAAAATTAATATAAAAAATGGTCATAATAAATTCAGTTTCAGTCACAATAAACAAAATTTTTACAGTTTTAGACATTATCTTTTACAGTTTTACAAATTACTTATCGGAAGCAGGTTACCTACAGGATATCAGAAGCAAATGGTAAAAAAGTAAGTCCTTTGTTTCCTTATTTTTAAGTCGTTGCCCCAAACTATATTTTTTCCTGTGTCGTGGGTGCATTTACTAACATAAGTTTTCACCAGACTGCCAACCATTAATCTTTATATATAAAAATTTCGTGTCACGTGTTTGTCCGCGATTGACTCCTAAACTACTAACCGATTTTAAATTTGATTTGCATTCCGTATGCATTTTGAAGGATAGCTTACATCTCAATTTATAGTCACAATATTATTTATCTTTGCCACAGCAACGCGTGAGCCTATAAGTGCACACTGCTGAGCAAAGGCCTCTTCTCATACAGAGAAGGTTTGAGCATTAACCACTACGCTTGCTCAAGGCGGATGGGCGATTTGAGACTTATTATAAGAAATTATTAGTTCAGGTTTCTTCACGATGTGTTCCTTCACTGTTCACCGTTTACAGGCGGTGGATAGCGGGGTGTTAAACAATCATAGACGGTACATATAACTTGAAAAATGTCACATTGGTACTTGCAAGGTTTCGAACCGCATGCTCATGCATGAGAAGCGGTTGCCATAACTTCAGGGCCACCATGACATGTAGCATACCTACATGCCTTATAATACAAGAGAGAAGATCGGTTGACGGTTTCGAAAAGACTGATTTATTCAACACGTTCTATACATAGACAATATACATGTTTCACTTTTAGACTCACGAATGGCGCTACGTGTAACATCTCAAAATTATATTTTGATAACATTTTAATACCTTACCTATATCTCCAATATCGACGCTAAAAATTACTGCATGTAATCTTAAGAACAATACAAAACAAACTGTCTCCTTTCAGACCTCATGATAGACTTCTCAACCAAGCTTTAAAGTTGGGGCATCGTTTAAAGGGAGCTCTAAAACCTCAGACAGTAGATGGACAAGTTTTAGACTGTTACACCAACTGTGAGGAGTCGGAGGGAGATGGAGTGGACAATATGGATATATTGAAGTATCTAGACAATCTGGCCGTTGAGGAGTCGTTGAGGGGACACGATCTAAGCACTTACAAGGTCGTGTTGACGAATGTTGAGACTAAGTTGGTGAGTTTTAGTTTTTTTTAAGTTAGTGTTGTTTATCTAAGAATACTCGGGAGAGGAAGGCCTCTCGATAATGACGTAAATATATTATAGATATAATAAAACTAATGAGTATAGAAACGTGTGTAATTATAAGTTGGTATAATATCGTGTCTCAATATTGGTCACTAATTACCATATAGTTATCCTTATAGTTGATCAGAATTTTTGCTTATAAGATGGAACATAGCAACATACATTAGCGGTGTTCTGTGAGTTGATGGCACTTCCTTATCCAATATATTTATTTATGCACACAAAATTATAGTCATAGAAGGAAGTACCTACTAAGGTTCTGCTTGTTCTAAAGAATGGATGTATGCTGCAAAAAATCAATTAAACCTCAAAACTCATTACTCAGTACTATTATTTATTAATTTTATTAATTTTATTTTATTTTACAAGCATCGATCACTAATAAAGAACTAGATACACAATCCCATACAAAAGTTCGCTTCAAAACTGTCGTCAACTGTATTTAGGTACTTATACTTGAAATAAACATGCATTAATGTAAATTAAACCTTAAATGCAACTCATAGAGTTGTTTTCACAAAGTGATATACAAAATCTAAACTTTTTTGCATAAATCATAAGAAATTGAACCATATTCGCATGTTTTTAAGTCGAATTTACAATGTGTCAAAAATGAGCAATAAAATTTAACGACTTCGGCTCACCGCTAGGACAAAGAATGATTGGAGTCGAAATGTCTCAAATTAAATAAATTTCTTTCAATTTTTTTTTGATAATTTATAAAAAAAAATACGAAAATTAAAACGCATTACTTATAGTATTCTTTTCGAAACGAATGCATAAAGTTATATTTTTTTTTATTATTTTCGTCCTCCTTAATCCTTCCTAAATTTGGAATATTTTTCAAAGTATATATGTATACTTTGAAAAATATATTTCAAAGTATAGGAATATTTTTCATATAAATATAAATATATAGGAATATTTTTCCGAAGTTCCGAAATTCGAAGTCAAATAAAAAAGATGTAAAATAATAAAAAGAATATATATCTAAAGTAAGTACTGAAAATGTTGGCGTTATTGTTGTCAATTTTTCATATCACACGGGTTTTTGATGAAAGCTAAAAAAAAATGTCTTTACTGCAGTTAAAATTAAATCCATTATATCTGCCTATTCCATATTTTAATAAACACAGTAAAGAAGTATATTATTAAATAAAAACTATTTTTTAATAAAAAAACAATAAATAAAATTAGAAACAATAGCGTCTCCGCTAAACGGGACAGAATCAATCCACGTAAACCGAACAACTTAAGTGGTCATGCTAGAGAATGATTTTACGTTTAGTATAAGTGTCTTTATAAACTGTGTGCATTATAACCCCGGTTTTTGAATACGATTTCATTTGGAAAAAGTTTTAAAGTTGATTTCTTAATAAAATATCAATATTTAAAATAGAATGATGACAATTTTATAATGATAATATTATTACTTAACGAAAATATGAAATTCCATCCTTTTTTGCGTCTTAGATTTTGTTTTTTTTTGCAGTTTTTAAACGAGCACTGAGGCGTGTTTACCGTCGGAGCATTCGAGTGGTACTAAACTAAAACTACACCGCGATGTTGAGTTTGGTGGACTTTCAGTTAGGACATTTTTTTGTCACTGATTGTGTATCTAGTTCTTTATTAGTGATCGATGTTTACAAGGCAATTAAATAATTATAATTATCATACATATAGACCTAAGTTATCAGAACTGAATTGGCAAATTTAGGGATAGGTAAATAACACACAGTCGCTATGAATGTAAGATTGTTGTGTCGCGTACCAGATTATTTGAGTCATGAAGTTAATTAATTTTTCTCTTATGCTGTGGTTACACTTGAAAGCAACGCTTCTCGCTCGCACTTTTTGGTGGCACAGGTCGGCAAACGAGCAGAATTGCAAATCAGTGTCGTAGATATAAAGTATTAATTGTCCCTCACAAATCAACGCTTGTGTAGTTTCATGCCGCTTTTCTATGAGTCTATGACGTTGTCCTATTTGGGAGCGATCGTACGATGGCGCGATACGTTTTTCATCTCACGATGAAACTGGTCGTACGATGACCAATTTGTCTTTGTTGTCGGGACAGACGCAGCTTTTGCTGTTGGGCAATAATCCTTAAAAAATTGCAAACAACATTAAAAAAAAGAAACCGTAGACAACATGAAATACTTTATAGATCCAGGAATCTGCACGCTGAAGTTTTCGTCCTTTATTTTGATGTACGAAATAACGAAGAAGTGTTTGTCTTGTTTGAATTATTTGTCCATTGTCAAAAGAAACATTTGACTATATCTGCAATGGAATACGTAGCGATTGTATCACAAAGTGATCGCACGTACGATCAAACGCATCGTACGATCGTTTTTAAGCATTTCATGTACTCACACAATCACTACCGAGGTTCAAATAGGACACTGATGAATTCTGTATGTTTGAACTCATCGCACGACGAGAACGCATAGCGCCATCGTACGATCGTTCCCAATTAGGACGACGCCTTTGGTTATCGTACGACCACTTTGATCGTGCGATGAAAAACGACGATCATTTATTGGTTGAGATGATGTATTCGTGCCGAAGTTTGTCTCTACCATCTGACGATAAAATAGTCCTTGAAAAAATTTGGTGTCCCTTCCCCAGCAAGTCCCACCCCGGCGTGGCGTGGTCCGTGTGTTCACACTGACGGTGCACCGCGCGGGCGGAGGCGCCGCGCCCGCCGAGCTGTGGGCACTCGACCGCTCCGAGCACGACTTCCATCTACTGCGGAGCAAGCTGCACGAGTTCCACGGGGACGCCTTGCTGCACGACCTGTCTCTGCCCTCGCGCAGGTAACGCCCCACTATCTATACTATACTTCCATCTACTGCGGAGCAAGCTGCACGAGTTCCACGGGGACGCCTTGCTGCACGACCTGTCTCTGCCCTCGCGCAGGTAACGCCCCACTATCTATACTATACTTCCATCTACTGCGGAGCAAGCTGCACGAGTTCCACGGGGACGCCTTGCTGCACGACCTGTCTCTGCCCTCGCGCAGGTAACGCCCCACTATCTATACTATACTTCCATCTACTGCGGAGTAAGCTGCACGAGTTCCACGGGGACGCCTTGCTGCACGACCTGTCTCTGCCCTCGCGCAGGTAACGCCCCACTATCTATACTATACTTCCATCTACTGCGGAGCAAGCTGCACGAGTTCCACGGGGACGCCTTGCTGCACGACCTGTCTCTGCCCTCGCGCAGGTAACGCCCCACTATCTATACTATACTTCCATCTACTGCGGAGCAAGCTGCACGAGTTCCACGGGGACGCCTTGCTGCACGACCTGTCTCTGCCCTCGCGCAGGTAACGCCCCACTATCTATACTATACTTCCATCTACTGCGGAGCAAGCTGCACGAGTTCCACGGGGACGCCTTGCTGCACGACCTGTCTCTGCCCTCGCGCAGGTAACGCCCCACTATCTATACTATACTTCCATCTACTGCGGAGCAAGCTGCACGAGTTCCACGGGGACGCCTTGCTGCACGACCTGTCTCTGCCCTCGCGCAGGTAACGCCCCACTATCTATACTATACTTCCATCTACTGCGGAGCAAGCTGCACGAGTTCCACGGGGACGCCTTGCTGCACGACCTGTCTCTGCCCTCGCGCAGGTAACGCCCCACTATCTATACTATACTTCCATCTACTGCGGAGCAAGCTGCACGAGTTCCACGGGGACGCCTTGCTGCACGACCTGTCTCTGCCCTCGCGCAGGTAACGCCCCACTATCTATACTATACTTCCATCTACTGCGGAGTAAGCTGCACGAGTTCCACGGGGACGCCTTGCTGCACGACCTGTCTCTGCCCTCGCGCAGGTAACGCCCCACTATCTATACTATACTTCCATCTACTGCGGAGCAAGCTGCACGAGTTCCACGGGGACGCCTTGCTGCACGACCTGTCTCTGCCCTCGCGCAGGTAACGCCCCACTATCTATACTATACTTCCATCTACTGCGGAGCAAGCTGCACGAGTTCCACGGGGACGCCTTGCTGCACGACCTGTCTCTGCCCTCGCGCAGGTAACGCCCCACTATCTATACTATACTTCCATCTACTGCGGAGCAAGCTGCACGAGTTCCACGGGGACGCCTTGCTGCACGACCTGTCTCTGCCCTCGCGCAGGTAACGCCCCACTATCTATACTATACTTCCATCTACTGCGGAGCAAGCTGCACGAGTTCCACGGGGACGCCTTGCTGCACGACCTGTCTCTGCCCTCGCGCAGGTAACGCCCCACTATCTATACTATACTTCCATCTACTGCGGAGCAAGCTGCACGAGTTCCACGGGGACGCCTTGCTGCACGACCTGTCTCTGCCCTCGCGCAGGTAACGCCCCACTATCTATACTATACTTCCATCTACTGCGGAGCAAGCTGCACGAGTTCCACGGGGACGCCTTGCTGCACGACCTGTCTCTGCCCTCGCGCAGGTAACGCCCCACTATCTATACTATACTTCCATCTACTGCGGAGCAAGCTGCACGAGTTCCACGGGGACGCCTTGCTGCACGACCTGTCTCTGCCCTCGCGCAGGTAACGCCCCACTATCTATACTATACTTCCATCTACTGCGGAGCAAGCTGCACGAGTTCCACGGGGACGCCTTGCTGCACGACCTGTCTCTGCCCTCGCGCAGGTAACGCCCCACTATCTATACTATACTTCCATCTACTGCGGAGCAAGCTGCACGAGTTCCACGGGGACGCCTTGCTGCACGACCTGTCTCTGCCCTCGCGCAGGTAACGCCCCACTATCTATACTATACTTCCATCTACTGCGGAGCAAGCTGCACGAGTTCCACGGGGACGCCTTGCTGCACGACCTGTCTCTGCCCTCGCGCAGGTAACGCCCCACTATCTATACTATACTTCCATCTACTGCGGAGCAAGCTGCACGAGTTCCACGGGGACGCCTTGCTGCACGACCTGTCTCTGCCCTCGCGCAGGTAACGCCCCACTATCTATACTATACTTCCATCTACTGCGGAGCAAGCTGCACGAGTTCCACGGGGACGCCTTGCTGCACGACCTGTCTCTGCCCTCGCGCAGGTAACGCCCCACTATCTATACTATACTTCCATCTACTGCGGAGCAAGCTGCACGAGTTCCACGGGGACGCCTTGCTGCACGACCTGTCTCTGCCCTCGCGCAGGTAACGCCCCACTATCTATACTATACTTCCATCTACTGCGGAGCAAGCTGCACGAGTTCCACGGGGACGCCTTGCTGCACGACCTGTCTCTGCCCTCGCGCAGGTAACGCCCCACTATCTATACTATACTTCCATCTACTGCGGAGCAAGCTGCACGAGTTCCACGGGGACGCCTTGCTGCACGACCTGTCTCTGCCCTCGCGCAGGTAACGCCCCACTATCTATACTATACTTCCATCTACTGCGGAGCAAGCTGCACGAGTTCCACGGGGACGCCTTGCTGCACGACCTGTCTCTGCCCTCGCGCAGGTAACGCCCCACTATCTATACTATACTTCCATCTACTGCGGAGCAAGCTGCACGAGTTCCACGGGGACGCCTTGCTGCACGACCTGTCTCTGCCCTCGCGCAGGTAACGCCCCACTATCTATACTATACTTCCATCTACTGCGGAGCAAGCTGCACGAGTTCCACGGGGACGCCTTGCTGCACGACCTGTCTCTGCCCTCGCGCAGGTAACGCCCCACTATCTATACTATACTTCCATCTACTGCGGAGCAAGCTGCACGAGTTCCACGGGGACGCCTTGCTGCACGACCTGTCTCTGCCCTCGCGCAGGTAACGCCCCACTATCTATACTATACTTCCATCTACTGCGGAGCAAGCTGCACGAGTTCCACGGGGACGCCTTGCTGCACGACCTGTCTCTGCCCTCGCGCAGGTAACGCCCCACTATCTATACTATACTTCCATCTACTGCGGAGCAAGCTGCACGAGTTCCACGGGGACGCCTTGCTGCACGACCTGTCTCTGCCCTCGCGCAGGTAACGCCCCACTATCTATACTATACTTCCATCTACTGCGGAGCAAGCTGCACGAGTTCCACGGGGACGCCTTGCTGCACGACCTGTCTCTGCCCTCGCGCAGGTAACGCCCCACTATCTATACTATACTTCCATCTACTGCGGAGTAAGCTGCACGAGTTCCACGGGGACGCCTTGCTGCACGACCTGTCTCTGCCCTCGCGCAGGTAACGCCCCACTATCTATACTATACTTCCATCTACTGCGGAGCAAGCTGCACGAGTTCCACGGGGACGCCTTGCTGCACGACCTGTCTCTGCCCTCGCGCAGGTAACGCCCCACTATCTATACTATACTTCCATCTACTGCGGAGCAAGCTGCACGAGTTCCACGGGGACGCCTTGCTGCACGACCTGTCTCTGCCCTCGCGCAGGTAACGCCCCACTATCTATACTATACTTCCATCTACTGCGGAGCAAGCTGCACGAGTTCCACGGGGACGCCTTGCTGCACGACCTGTCTCTGCCCTCGCGCAGGTAACGCCCCACTATCTATACTATACTTCCATCTACTGCGGAGCAAGCTGCACGAGTTCCACGGGGACGCCTTGCTGCTCGACCTGTCTCTGCCCTCGCGCAGGTAACGCCCCACTATCTATACTATACTTCCATCTACTGCGGAGCAAGCTGCACGAGTTCCACGGGGACGCCTTGCTGCACGACCTGTCTCTGCCCTCGCGCAGGTAACGCCCCACTATCTATACTATACTTCCATCTACTGCGGAGCAAGCTGCACGAGTTCCACGGGGACGCCTTGCTGCACGACCTGTCTCTGCCCTCGCGCAGGTAACGCCCCACTATCTATACTATACTTCCATCTACTGCGGAGCAAGCTGCACGAGTTCCACGGGGACGCCTTGCTGCACGACCTGTCTCTGCCCTCGCGCAGGTAACGCCCCACTATCTATACTATACTTCCATCTACTGCGGAGCAAGCTGCACGAGTTCCACGGGGACGCCTTGCTGCACGACCTGTCTCTGCCCTCGCGCAGGTAACGCCCCACTATCTATACTATACTTCCATCTACTGCGGAGCAAGCTGCACGAGTTCCACGGGGACGCCTTGCTGCACGACCTGTCTCTGCCCTCGCGCAGGTAACGCCCCACTATCTATACTATACTTCCATCTACTGCGGAGTAAGCTGCACGAGTTCCACGGGGACGCCTTGCTGCACGACCTGTCTCTGCCCTCGCGCAGGTAACGCCCCACTATCTATACTATACTTCCATCTACTGCGGAGCAAGCTGCACGAGTTCCACGGGGACGCCTTGCTGCACGACCTGTCTCTGCCCTCGCGCAGGTAACGCCCCACTATCTATACTATACTTCCATCTACTGCGGAGCAAGCTGCACGAGTTCCACGGGGACGCCTTGCTGCACGACCTGTCTCTGCCCTCGCGCAGGTAACGCCCCACTATCTATACTATACTTCCATCTACTGCGGAGTAAGCTGCACGAGTTCCACGGGGACGCCTTGCTGCACGACCTGTCTCTGCCCTCGCGCAGGTAACGCCCCACTATCTATACTATACTTCCATCTACTGCGGAGCAAGCTGCACGAGTTCCACGGGGACGCCTTGCTGCACGACCTGTCTCTGCCCTCGCGCAGGTAACGCCCCACTATCTATACTATACTTCCATCTACTGCGGAGCAAGCTGCACGAGTTCCACGGGGACGCCTTGCTGCACGACCTGTCTCTGCCCTCGCGCAGGTAACGCCCCACTATCTATACTATACTTCCATCTACTGCGGAGCAAGCTGCACGAGTTCCACGGGGACGCCTTGCTGCACGACCTGTCTCTGCCCTCGCGCAGGTAACGCCCCGCCCCTTCGAAAAACATTATTTTATAATATATAGATAAAAACATGTCCCGTCCTTTTACTCGAAGATAAGATCAAACATAAATGATGGTTGATAGAGACAAGTCCACTGCGTATGTCCTGAAACTGTACACCTAAGAGACGGGACAACATTCTCTGTGGTAGTATTGGTGGCTAAACTACAGTTTCTAAACAGCGTTATCTGAGAGCAATAAATTGCAAAACCCCCTTTAAGTGTTTTTTTTTTCAGTACTGTATCATTCTTAATATCAATGAAACAAAAGAGAAACAAAAACGAAAAACTAACCGCTTTACAAAGGTTTTGCTCCCAAAGAAAATAATATAAATAATCTTCGTCATTACCACAGATTTCAAAATGAGTCACAACTAAAATTCAACTTGTTTCTCACTTACAGAGACAACAGTCCTTTGGAAACGCTGAGGTACAAATATGAGGACTTCCTCCAAAGACTACTGCAGAAAAGTTTGCTCCAGACTAGCGAACTGCTTCGAATATTCCTCACAGAAGATGGTGACTTCTCCATAGTGGTCCAAGCGTCGACCCTGAACGCTACTAGCACGGATTTAGGCAATATTTACCAAAGCGTCGCGCTAAGGCTACGGAAGGAGAAGGGACAACATCTAGAGAGCTTTCTCAGGAATTTGTTGGTGTCTTCTGATATTGAGCGGTATCAGGCCTTGTAAGTATTTTTTTGTATTAAATTATGATTTTGGTGGTTTTGTAGATTATGCATAGTAGGAGAAATTCCTGTACATTTTGGTATTTTACTTCTCAAAGTACGTTCAATGGTTACTTTGTGTCGTTTCATCTTGTATTATGTCTTTTAAGGGCAAACATGAGGTTGGACAATATCTTCCTTTTCTTTTCAACCAGACGTCGTCGTAATAAAACCTAGCCATTATTTTTTATTCCTAATAATAAGAACATTCCTTTTTATCCTATCGTAGTTAAATTCGAAACCAACCGACAACGGTGTCTTATTGCGCTTTCCCCGAAACCTCGGCTGAACATCAGCCCAGTCTGTGGTGGTCTAATGACTCTTTGATGCAACGCGTCGTTCGCTCGGGTCTTAATGATGTGTCTTTCTTTTGTGTTCATTTTATATTGAAATCACCAGTTCGTCATTGAAGCAAGCTGATCCCGTCCCTTCTGCCTCCAGGAAGCAAGGAACAGCTCGTGACGTGGAAGAAGCTCAGGAAATGAGCGAGGACGTCCCCGTCGAGGTGCAGTACAAACGACAACGTCACGCGCGCAACATTCACACGTCCGTGTTCCAAAACAACTTTGACGTGGAACCCACGATCAGTAATGTTGATACGGAGTACCAGAACTACGTTGTTGGGTTCACACAGTGTCTTATGTATTTGTGTGAGTATACATTTTTTCTTTTACCTCTCTTTAGCATGATAAAGACTGATTTGGAAACAAAAATACGTATTTAAATGGTTTTATTAATTCCCTAATTAAAGTGTCCTTATGAACCTTAGAAGAATCCCTTAGAAAGGATGACTGTCAAGCGATAGTTTTTTTTTAAATGCTTGAAAAACTTAAGTTTAGTACCGTGATCACGTTATCACGGTATTGTTAGGTATTTCTAATACCGGTACTGATATCGGTATTGAAAAAATCTGGTATTTGAAAGCATGACTGAATAATAAAAAACACGCCTGCCATGTTAATAAAGGAACAAAACTAAAAATGTGTTTTTCTTGACATATTTTTAGTCCTGCCCACTTCTCTGTTCACTACAGCTGTATATGTAAATAAGGCGTTAGTATATAGGTATATAAAATTGTGACAATTTTCCAGTAATAAAAGTGCTTCGAGTGAGTAGCGTGATCACCCGCGTGGTGGGTGCGCTGGCGTCGCTGGCGCGTCCGGCGGCCGACCGCGCCGCGGACTGTCTGCTCCGCGCCACGCTCGACAACTTGCTCAGCCAGAGGAGGCTCGCGCATCTTATTAGGTTAGGTCATGGTAGGTATCCAGATTATACATTCAGACATCTCTTTTTGAGGGTAGAAAATAGTTATTGTGCGTCTCACAATAAACTAGCGTGGAATAATCACAGCGTTGTGTTTCACCGTGTCATTGAGGTTTCTGAAAGCCAAATCCTTTGCCTCCTCAAATACTCCTCACTCCCTTAATCACCGAAACCCTAATACCCAAAAACCAGGCTACGCATTCGGTAACTCTTCTAGTGTTGGGGGTGTGCATGGGCACGCACGCCGATGGCTTACCATCAAGTTATCCGTCTGTTAGTTTTTTTTTTAATCTTTGCTCTACACTAGGATTTTTTCCCGTGTCGTGGGTGCGGTTACAAATCACACACCCAGCCAACCAACACTCAGACCCGGAACAACAATTTTTGGATCACACAAAGAGTTGTTGCGTACGGGAATCGAACCACCAAACGTACAATACTGCCGACGTATCTTGGCGAATCTGAAGTTAGCCGATTAGCTGCGCAGTACACAATTTTGTTCCCAAAAGAACTATTGCGCAGACTAACGGCTAACTTCAGACTCGCCAAAATACGACGGCCGTACTGTAAAAAAAATTACGAATTGCCCTCGATCCTCTCGCTTTGCATAGAGTACAAGCAAAGTGTCACGCTTATCAACTAGAAGTTACCCCGTATTTCCTTATGTTTTGAGTCGGGTCACGACGTTTGCACTCACGACCCCGCCTGGACATCCTCCTTAGTGGTCCCCAACCTCCTCTAGTTTGTCTTTCTGCGTTTGCTAGTCGCAGTAGTTTTGAGTATATATATTATTGTTACAAGAATCTTTCGTCAGTCATTAGTCGGTCTCCCCTCACAAAAAAATAAATTACCAGGCCCATGGTAAATGAGTTAAAAAATTTATGTAAATTATAATCTTCTAAAGACAAGTATTTTACTAGCGTATGACATACGTATACATTCGCACGCGATAACGGAAAAATAACTTTCTTCTGGGTTGTTTTTTAGGTCTATTATTCGGTAAGCGCGCGTCCGTCCCCCGCGCGGACGCGAGCGTCCAGCGCGGGCAGGCGCGCGGCCAGCTACAGCGCGCCCTGCCGCGCGCCACGCTGGCGCCGCGCGCGCGGGCCGCCATACTCAACGCGTTCGACATCATACAGGTGCCACACCTCAATAAACAGGTAATTGTATCAATTATCAACCAATTACCTAGTTTCCTAGGTTAATAATTCATAAAATCAATGTTTCAATACAATAAAATATAACCATACCTACACACACATACACAGCATTTTCGACATTTTAAGCTATTTTTAAGAAATAAGTAGGTAAGCTATTTGACGCTAAAATACTATGACGAGAAAAGTAGTTTTTGACATTTCAATAAAAGTATTGAATACTTTTATTGAAATGTAAAGTGTAAGGTTTTAGTAGATGGAAACTACGGTAGTTTGAAACTACCGTATTGATTTAGTTTTCTCACACAAACGAATGTCGAAAATAGATCTAAATCCAAAGATATTGGATTGAGAACGTTTAATACTTTCGGTTGTGTACAAGAACATGAATAATTGAATCTTATTTTAAATTTAACATTAATTAATTTCGTAAATCATTGTTTGTGCAATGAAAGTATTTAATCGTAGATGTGTAATAAAACTCAAATATGCCAAAATGTGCACTTTATCCAAATTTGGAAAAGGTGCACATTTTGGAACTTTTTTTATCTCCTTTAAGTCATGCCTAAAGTATATTACTAGTATATCGATACTTGCTGAAAGTGACGCATTCTCACGACATTATCTATATCAGTATTTTGGTTACAGCTTGCATTATTTGATAATCTTTAATGACTCATTGGAATTTAATTACCAGCGACAACTTAGCTTACTTACTTTAGCGATAAAAATAAAATATCATGGTGAATGTATTTATAATATTTTCCTTTTTGATTTCAGCTGGTTTACAACTTACTGGATTTGTGCATCATCGAGTTATTCCCTGAACTCGGCGCCACAGACAAGAATCCATCCAAAGTACCAAAGAGTTGAGGATGTATATTTCCATGCAAGACGTAATTTATTTTATAAATAAAACACAACTAGGTATTTTTTATTTTTGTAAATCTCCAAAATACGCACGGTTGTCAGATGTTAATGAGGTTTATTTAATTTATACGCAAGTTATTGTGTAACTTTATTGTAAATATTTGTATTGTATAATAATGAATCTATTTTTATAATATTAGTTATTGAAGCAATATTCGTTCACTTGACCCTTCGAGGTTGTAATCGAAAGACCACAGAGTATTTTTAAATGTTTGCAGTGTAGACAAACACGAGAAATAAATTATTTTGATAATATATGATTGTTTTACTTTTTACCTGTTGATTGGCCATCTATATTCAGAATTCAATATTCTAAAATCTAAAAAACCAAACAGTGTTCATCACAATAACACTGACTTACAAGAAACAATATAATATAGGAGACAAGGATGAGATTTCACGCACAAAAAAATATAATTCATAAACACGTTTCCATTGCTATGGTAACCAACCAACAAGAAAATAATTATTAATTTTGTCCAACTTAAAATAATTATTTTTAAATTAAAATTCGTATCTTTTGGGATTAAATAGTATATGTTCTCAATAATTGTATAGTGTTTATTGTGTGTGTATCATATTTGGCCCGCGAGCTCGCGTTTGATCGCGGTGCTTTCGGGGCGGGCGATCCTACAATAGAGATTGATAGAGATGGCGTCGTCGGTGGTGAGTGATAATTTATCACTCGTACTCGACGAACATGATTACTGCAAAGAGGATAATGAATATCAAAATAAAATACCAAACAACAAAAATAAAAGACAATACGATGACTCAGATGAAACATTCCAATGGCAAGTTGTATCCCGACCAAGAAAACGATATGCAAGCAGCCTTAATAATTTATCGATTCCCGGAGAAAGATTTGAGGCTAGTATTTCTTCCAAAGAAGTACTACCCAAACAATTCAAATTTGCAAAATTGATGAAAGATAACAATATACGTAATATAATTAGAGTTCGATATATAAACCCTTTTAAACTAAATGTACAATTTGATGACCAATGTAGTATGGGAGAGCTTTTTGCTTGTAAGACATTTATAGATTTTGGATGGAAAATGCAGCGTACCATGGAAGTGGGGGTATCTTATGGTGTAATTAAAAATGTTGAATTAGATCTTCCTGATAAGGATATCCTAGGCAGCTTGGACAGTGACGTGGAAATAATATCTGTCAAAAGACTAAGTCGGAAAGTTCCTGACAGCACTGAATGGACCAACAGTGAGAGCGTCAGAATATGTTTTAAGGGTTCTTCGTTACCGACTTTCATTTACATTTATGGGGTTCGAACACAAGTCGAACCATATGTATTTCCCGTTACACAATGTTCGAATTGCTGGCGTTTTGGCCATTTCCGAAAAATGTGTACTAAAAAGAAGACATGTGTCAAATGTGGAGCTGCACATGAAGAATGCGATACTAATGCGTTTTCATGTATAAATTGTCGTGGAAAACATACTGCTTTAAGTAAACACTGTCCTATGTTCATTAAAGAAAGATCACTAAGACGATTGATGGTGGAATCAAACTGCACTTATAAGAAAGCTGTTATGTTATACACGCCATCTACTCAGGAAACATCGACTTTAAACAAGACCGGACAGGAGGAAAACAATAGTAAAGCATCAACTTCAACTGCCACAGTTTCATCATATGCATCTACGGTAAAAGGGGTTTCAGTTAAGCCGTTAGACGGAAAACTTTTGGTTAATGACGGTAAAGATGATAATATTCAGGTGAATACAAAACAGAAGCTCCAACAAAAAAAGAAGAAGAACAAAAAACAAAGTCAAAAGGTTAAGGAAATGTCTTTTGAGAATGAGGGCGTGTGGTCGTCTGATACTGATAACAATGATACATCCACTAAAACAAAAACTCGTAATTATAAGGACAAGATGAATGAAAATACTTTTGAAGGACTATTAACAGAAATATACAATATCGTTTTTACCCAAGAAGATGTTACTACAAAGATTAAAAATGTATTTATGCTTATATTGCAGTGGCTTACATCTAAGATGAAAAACTATTTTTTAAATAGTAATTGGTTAAATTTATTTTCCTGTAATAATGGCGGGAAGGAATAAATACAAGTTGAATATAATACAATGGAATTGCCAAAGTTTAAAAAATAAAATGATTTCCTTGGAGCAATTACTGTGCCAAGAAAAAGTTCACATTGCAGCTTTAAGTGAGACCTGGTTACGCGGCGATCAGGAGGTTCGGGCTAGTGGATATACAATATATCGTAAAGACAGATTAGATGGATACGGAGGGGTAGCAATTTTCGTTCATAATTCTGTTAAAAGCCTAGCTTGTTCACAGACATCTCTTCATTCAGGTATAGAGCTTTTACATATCAAAGTTTTTAATTGTGAAATGTTACAAAACATAGTTTCTGTATATTGTCCTCCGTCTGTACACACCACACAAACGGATTGGGAAAATATATTCAGTAATTTTGCTTCCAAATCCTTGATACTCGGTGATTTTAACGGCCATCACTCTAGTTGGTCTTCTAAAACGGACTTGAGAGGAAGTCAAATTTTTGATGCTTTAATAGATTATAATCTTATTACTTTGAACAGTGGAAATCCTACTAGAATTAAACTGGTTAATGGTATTTTGCAATCTTCATCTCCTGACCTATCAATAGTTTCAACAGACATAGCCTTAAAGTTTGAATGGCGTGTTACAAGTGAAACATTAGGTAGTGATCATTGTATTGTAAAGATTTCATCAGTCAGTAATAACTTGTTTCATTCTATTAAAAAAAGAAATTTTAAAAAAGCTGATTGGACATTGTACAGGACTCAGCTCCAGGAAGATTTTTCTCAATTTATGTATTCGAGTACTAATCTGCAGCAATCATATGATTTATTCGTGAACGTCATTAATAAAGCTGCTGATTGCTATATTCCTTACTATAAAATAAATCCAAATCCTTGTCATAGGTTTATACCCAAACCTTATTGGTGTGCAAATATATCAAAAGCAGTGGCAGAACGTCGTCTTGCCTTAGCATCATTTAGGCGTAATCCTACTCCTAATAACCTAGATAATCTTCAAAATAAAATCACTGAGGCGAGAAAATATATTCAGAATGCTAAACGGGAAGCATATCAAAAGTTCTGTTCAGGTATAGATAACGCAACGTCCGCAAGTGTGGTGTGGCAGCGAATGCGCTGGATAAAAGGGTGTCACAAAACTAATCAGACATATTATGTTGAAGAGAACCGGGTTAAAACACTTTTAGGTAGCCTTACTCCAGATTATGTAGTTAACAGGCAACCTTTATTTAAATCCAGTAATACTAAATTGTCTACCCCTATATCTGTACAGGAAATGGAAAAGAATATTAAATCATCTGATACAGCTCCTGGTTGCGATGACATTTCCTTTTCTATGATTAAAAATTTGCCTCAAAATGGCAAAATAGTTTTAACACGTTTGTATAATGATTTTTTCGATAGTGGCTTTGTTCCAGCTCAGTGGCGAGATACGCGTATTTTTCCAATAGCGAAATCAGGACGAGATCCCAACTCTGTGTCATCTCTGAGACCTATAGCATTAATGTCATGTATATGTAAAGTTTTTCATTCAATTATTAATAAGCGATTAGAGTGGTATTTGGAAAAAAATGCAATGTTCTCGGAATATACTATTGGCTTTAGAAAGTCTAAATCTTGTTTGGATAATTTAGCCTATTTAATTTCAAAAATACAAGCAGGTTTTTTAAAAGGTTTTACTACCTTAAGTTGCTTTTTGGACATTAATAATGCATACAATAATGTCGATATTTATACATTATTACTATCTTTAGACAGACTAGGGGTAGGTTCAAATATCTGTTTGTATTTATGGAATTTTCTTAGTGAGAGATATTTAAAAGTTGTTACTAATGATGTTAATATTTGTAGACGTACTAGCCTTGGACTGGCTCAAGGTGATCCCTTGTCTCCATTATTATTTAATATTGCTACCATGGATGTCTGTAAATCGTTAAATTCTAGGGTGTGTTTTTCGCAATATGCAGATGATTATGTAATATTTGTTACTGATAAAAACATTAATAATTCTATTTATATTTTACAAGGCGCTCTCTTAGACTTTTCGAAGTCTCTTGAGAAACTTGGTTTAGAGGTTTCACCACAGAAAAGTAAAGTTTGTTTATTTAGAAAAAATGTAAAAAGACATGAAGTTCCTATTGAACTTAAGATTAATGATACTTCTTTAGATGTTGTTGATAATGTTAAGTATTTAGGATTGTGGTTAGATCGTTGCCTAAGATGGTCCAAACATATTAATGAATTGCAACAAAAATTGTTAAAGTTAATAAATTTATTTAAAGTTCTGTCTGGTCCAGGTTGGGGTGTTCATCCGACACATCTCAGACGTCTGTACATTTCCCTTGTCAGAAGCCGTTTTGATTATTCTTGCTTCTTATACGGCAATAGTTGTAATGCTCATTTAAATAAATTAGATAAAATTCAAAATCAGTGTATGCGAGTAATAGGGGGTTTCATTAAATCTTCGCCTATTCATGTTATGGAAAGCGAACTTTGTATACAACCTCTACATGTTAGAAGATCATTTTTAGCTGGCAAATATTTTTGCAAAACTATATCTTGGGGTGGTTCATTTATTTATAAATCTATTCAGGAATTGCAAGATTTGTGGGCAAATTCCTGCACAGGTAGACCGAAAAAACCGCTACTAATTGAAGCATATGATTACTTCAAGGATGTTCGCGTACAAAGTACGCAAGTTTTAGATATATTTTCTTTAGATACTTGGACTACCAGTATCGATCTTTCTGAAAATATCATTTGTGATATTAAGTCAGTGAATAAGCCAAAACGCTCTTTTAGTCACTTAATTTTAAAGGAAATCTGTGATTTGAGTATTAATGAAAATTACGCAGACTTTTATAAAATGTTTACAGATGCTTCGAAAAATAATACATCAAATACACTTGGGGCAGCTTTCTTTGATATACAAACGAAAGACTTTATAAAACTCCAGATAAACTCTAATATTTCGATAATGTATGCAGAACTTATTGCCATATCAGAAGCCCTTTCATATATTCAGTCAATTTCATGTAATAAATTCGTCATATTCTGTGACTCTAAAAGTGCCCTTCAGCATTTGGTTCGGTGCACTTCGGGCTTGAGAGGAACCCCCATAGCTTTCACGATTATCAAATTAATGATGGACATTTTATCTTCTTCTAAATTAGTCATTCTACAATGGATACCCTCACATGTTGGTGTGGAAGGGAATGAAATAGCTGACAGATTGGCTACAGAGGCGTCTCACAGCGGAATATGTATGGATGTTTTACCTTGTTATTCTGATTGCACTTACATTGTTAAACAAAAATCTTATTCACTTTGGAAAGAATACTTTGATGAACGGTCCAAACATGTGGGAATATGGTATAAAATTGTCCAATCACAACCTTGGAAAGCTCCTTGGTTTGAAATATCTAACCTAGACAGACAAGATATTGTACTGTTGTTTAGGCTACGTTCTGGTCACATTCCGCTGAATAAATTTGCCTTCCTAATGCGAAAAAACGATTCTCCGAAATGTTATGTTTGCGGTAAAGTTGAAGACGTACATCATATTTTAGCGGAGTGTGATCGGAATAAGGAGTTAAGACATCGATTTTTTGGTAAAGAATGTTACAATATAGGTTTTTATATAAATTTTCTATCGTCTCCACTGTGTGAAAGAGCTAAAGTACTTATTAGTTTAGTTAAAGAGGGTCTAAGGCGGAGATCATCTTTGCCTTAATTCTTCTTTTTAAGTATTTCAATTTATTTTTGCTTTATATACGGAGCGTCATATTTGTAACTGCAAATAAGCTCTTTTAAATAAAGATAAAAAAAAAAAAAAAAAAACACGTTTCCGAACGTGACATTAAATCGAAAAGCGTCATCAGTTTCTGAACGTCCGACGTAAACAATCCAATGTTGCCAGATCATTATACCTTACAAATTTCAAGGGAGAATTTTCACCCTTGATCTCTACATAGATTTTTACAAAAATATTACGTCTGTTAATTTTTTTATTATTTTATTTAAAACTGAAATATTAAATTTACGTTACTACATTACCAGACAGTAATGAAAAAATAATAGTATAAGGGAACCGATTTCTTTAAATACACAAATAGTACATTGTTAAATTATTATTGACTATTTATTTCGTTTTTCGTGCAGTGTTTTTGCAAGGCATTGTTATGAAAAATACAGCTTATAAGATTTTAAGTAATGTTTCATAATCTTGCAACACTCCACTGATTTTAAGTAGGGTGGGAAAATAAAAAGATATGCTTGCAATACTGGTTGTATTATGTCAGTCTTAATTTACAGTGGAAAGTAAAAGGCGATGGGTGTGTTGCTTTGTGTTTATTTCTTGTTTTAGATAGAAACGAATGAATATGTTAAAAGCAAATTTAGTGTTAAGTTAATCAAAATTAATTTAAAGTTTTCAGTTTAATAATCATGCCATTGTAAATATCATCAAACAAATTCTTGTTTTGATTTGGTCAATGGTTGTGTTACTGATTGTAGTTAAAACAAAATATGAAACAATTGAATAAATTAGTTAGTGTAATGTTTGTGTTAAGTGATGTCCCAAGTTTAGAGGCGTATAACAAACACGCGTGTGCTTGATTGACTGATTATAAGTTTACAATAATGGCTTTCGTAAATAATTATTGTGTACATAAACATGGATATGAACTTTGATTGTGTTGGTGTTCGAATTTCGAAATCACGATGTCGTCGTCGCCGTGCCAAAAAGGCGGGATGCGCCTCAGTGAAGCGTTGGATAACATGCAGCTTGCGTACAACCCGATAACTAAGCAGTTACATTTCGTTAGTCCAAAAGTGGAGAAACAAGTTGAGGATACGTCTGATGATATTGATAAACTGTCTAAGAAGAGCAGTTTCAGTGATGAAGGCAATTTTTCCATATCAACTTGTGAGAAAAGTGATACAAGTGACTCCCCAAAGAGTACTCTGCAGTGGGGCAGTGTAAGTGGCCATCACCGAGGCAAGGATGGTGGTTCTTTCTCAAGTACAGTCTCCAGTCTATCCGAGTGTTCTCTAGGCTCTGCTGCCTCTAAGGATGATGAAGTTTCCGATGCAACTTCACATGATCAGGAGCAATCTAAACTGAAGAAGAAAGGATTGTCGGGATTTTTCAGCAGGTAAGTCCACATTATTAATTGGTGATTATTATTAAACAGCTTTTAATTACCTAGCAAGATACTAAGTGGGGAAATTTTGGTTTTCAACAGAAAACATGTTGTTCTGTTTATTCCTAATTAGGGAAATATTATTATTTTGTTATGATTTTAAAACTTAAAACAAACTATGACTCATTCCATTCATTCCTAATTCGCACATGTGATAACACATAAGTATTATTGAAGAAAATTGGACTCAAAGGAATGTGCAACAAAGTTCAAATTTAACAGTATTTGTAGGTATTGTAATTCGTTTTATCATTATTGCAATGGCATTTGGTGTGTTGTGACCATTGATAATTATTTTATTCAATTTGAAATTAACATTGATCATCATTTAAGTGGACAGTATTGCTTGAATTTTTTTTTTTCATTTATCCCGTGGTAGAGTTAACCCGAGCGCAGATATACGCGAGACACAATGTGTTTTCTATTGTGTCTCATATAGGTACCGGCAGACTAGCGGTTAATTAGAATAAATGATTTGGTTACTTTAATTGCATTCCTGGCCAGAAATAATTCTTTGTCAGAAGAATATCAATTACTTCAACTGGGTGCGTTTAAACACTACAAACAGTGTGATTTGTATTATCCCTAATATTAGTTATATTTACCTGTACCTAAATGTTAACAAAATATAGTTATTCAATGCTAATAAGATATTAATAATATATAAGGAAAACTAACAAATAAACATGACTATATTGACCTCTATCCTTCTCAAATCAAGTTTCTGTTAGTTGCTTGTACCAACAATGTATTTTAAATGTTGCCACATAAAATAAACATGCATGTCTTACAACATTATCTTAGTAAAGATATTCAAATTAGGTAAAAAACACAGCTTGTTAACTTAGTCATTTTCCTTCCTTAATAAAAAAACCAAGCTCATAAAATACTACTTGCAAAATGCATTGTCTTGTATTTCAATAAGACCAGGTCAAAAAAATTATTCAAATTCATTCCACCTTAGCTTCCAGAGAGTATTCCTTTGTTTATTGTCTATTGTTTTTCGATAAAATATCAAACATAAAATACCTCATTTCAGTGTTCACTTCTTGATGTATCACCTCTGAATACCAATTGAGGACAAAGAGGTTTTATGTATGAAGTTATGTGTCTATAGACTCTATAGATAGGATTAAAATTTACATAAATGCTAAATAAAACAACCAAAGTTGTATGAGACTCTTTTATTTTGAATCATATTCAAAGACAGTCATATAATTTAATATTATGTATCAAATAGTCTTTATATTGTACTTATAATTCTAAAGTCTTTGTTTTGTCCCAATGGGAATGTTTGTTTAGTTGTATTTAAACTAGCCTCATGCTTTACCAAAATTTACCTTGTCAATTCCAACTAATTGACATGAAATATCATACAGTTTTTCTTGATAATCTAATTTCTTTGAGAAACTATTACTAATACCTTCAATACAGTTACTAATGTACAATCCCCCTTTTTTCTCTATATCTTTGTCAAAACAAGCGTGAAGAACGGAAACAGCACCTTTAGCTGGAGTTTTGAAAAACACTTTCATTAACCAAGGGAAAGCTTTTTTGAACATTGTGTGTTCAAACAGATCTGTGTCCACAATGCCTGGGTGAACCGCATAACATTTCACTGGATATCCATCTTCCTCCATCATCTTGTTGATGTATCGGGCACTCATTAACTGTAACAAACAGAATCATTTCTTAAGTTAACACCTAGTTACAATTTCAATAACAAAATCTCTTACTTTGAAAAACCAGTTTGAACAGTTGTAAGACGAAAGTAGAACATTTCTTTACCTGTGCCAGTTTAGCCTGCGCATACGCCGCCGTCGTGTCGTAGTGCTCCTTCATATTGATGTCATCAAAGAATATCTTCCCAGGGTAATGAGCACATGATGTCACATTCACAACTCTGGCTGCTTCGCCAATAGCGCCCCCCTTTTTTAGAGCTGGCAACAACAAATGTGTCAAATAAAAGTGACCCAGATGGTTGACCGCTAATTGATTCTCAAATCCATCTTCAGTCACATGATAGTCTCCATACATTATCCCAGCATTATTGACAAGAAGATTAATAGTTGGGAATTTTTCCAAAACATTCTGTGCAAAATTCTTGACTGATTTCAACGATTGTAAATCTAATGGAAAAGCTACGATGTTATCACCATTCTCCATATTATCTGCAAGTTTCTTCATGGCTTCCGGCTTCCTTACACCAGCTACGACCATCATATTTGCCTTTAGTAATCCTCGCACGACTTCGACCCCTATACCGCGAGCTCCGCCAGTGACGACTGCAATTTTCCTCTTCGCGTCTGGCAACACAATTTTGTTCCTTCTGATGTTCACCCAGTCATCAATAAGGCCACCGGCGCCTGCGCCCTGCATGTCTAGCGCGTACTTTAGTTCACTGAGTATGTGCTTCAAGGGTTTATGCCTGTTTATGTACCAATAAACAGCCGCGGCACTTGTCAGGATCACCGCTGAAGCTATTGCGAGAGACATGTTGAGGTTATGTTATCGTCCGCTCGTCGCGACGCTACGGTTGCACTGACAGTCGGTGCTTTCACTCCGCTGGAAATCCTCAACGCTTTCTCTCGATCCGGCGTTTGTTTGGGTTTATACCGTTAGTCCTGAGGTCGCGCTACTCATTTATCATTAAATGATAGCGAATACCCAATATTATCTGTAACAAAACAGAGAATTAAACGTAAACACATATTAAATACAACGCGAGCAAAAAACGTTCCGAAGCGTGTTATCTATGCGTGGCCTCCAGCTGTACTGAAAAGGATGACGCAACGCCACTACTATTGATATTAGAACAGACGGAAGTTATTGAAGTGTTAAAATACAAAAACTTAGATATCTTATTGATTTTTTTTATTTTAAGCACAAGAGCGATTCAAATACCTGACTGGCTCGTGCAGTCCACTGGTTTCACAATAATATTTACGGAATAAAATACCATCTGTTATGCGATATGCACGGTGCACCTGACGGTACTGACTTGTTTGTTTTGCAAATTCAATCGGGGCGCATGCGCTGTACGTGCTGGTATTTATCGTTGTACCGTCCGATTTCTAATTATGGCATTAACAGGTTGCGGTGCAGTGGTTATCGCGGTTTCGTTAATATTCTTTATACACTGTGCTAATTTTGGCAACTCGTTGAAAATACGTATCCGATCGGTGCATCCGATTTCCTTTCAGAGTGGTCATACTGCAGATTTCTTTTAGTGTGTTGTGCTCATTCTTAGTATATTATAACCGGTTTAAGACTAGGCATGTTAAAAATTTGACTAATCCAAAAGATCGTTTTATGAGCGCTTAGTACAACAGCCTTATTTAAATATTTTATGACTTCGCCCAGATGCTTTTTAACTCGACGTTTTATGACTATTCTACAGGGCTGGGAGATTAAGCTTCTGTGATAAAAAACGTGCTCCCATTATAATGGAATTAAGGGTCGATACCATTTTTTTCAATACTTCTTCACCTAAAGAATTTCTTTTGTTATCGTCTATTGCTGACGAATTCTAAGCGACGTAACCACGATACAAAACTACTTCAAATAAATCGGGGTTGAGAATGTAAAGCGACCTGTTTATGTGCTCCCCTTATCCAACATCAATGTTTGACGCAGATAAAGATGGCGGCATATCGCCATCTTTTTCTACCATTCTAGCGGTACGGACTAGTTCCCGCTTCGAGATTTTAATTAAGGGTCTTTGAACTACTGAATGCTGATGGTGCGTGTCGTCTACGCTATGACGCAACGCGAAAACGATGTAAAAACGCAAATGCTTAATGTCTACTTAGTCTGAGTAGACCATGACGTCATTTACCGTTAGAGATTGAATTAAACAATACGGATCAAATCATGAAGATGAATATTGTAGTTTTTGCAACGTAATTTAAGACATCAGAGGACTGATACTAAATGAATCACCATATCTTGGCTCTATCTACTGATTATTCGATTGACACCTTTGATAAACTTAAAGGCATTTTTGTGATAAGCACTTCATTCCAATGAATGTACAAACTAAGATCCAGACACTAGATTTTAGTTTGTTCTCTGGATTCCAGATACATACATTCTTTGTATTGTACCCTACTATTACATCAGGTATCTGAAAAAAAAGTAAGGATCAAATATTTATGTAGTATATACTTATAATACACATAGCATACGGGTACGAGGCAATGAATGGCGTTACGGTTAGTCGATGACGAAATGCATTCAGGTCAAACAAATTCCTGGACAACCGCAACACAAAGACTAAAGGGTTGCCTACGCCTCATGCTGGTTGGGGGCTTTTATGAGCTCTCTAAACAGAATTGACGTTGATGTTGATAGAAAACTTGATTTTAGAATACAAACAAATAACCCAAACAGAATATGAAACAATAATAAATAGTCCTGCCATACTGATGCAATTAATAACGAATTTCACGTTGAAGTCACCATCGAAGATAAAATCGACGTGTTTACAACCTGTATAAATAAAACAAGGCTTTCAAACATCTCCCAAGAAAACAGAAAATAAATTAAAAACAAAATACAAGCCCTTCGAGATCCGGTTGGAGAAACAATACGGCATTAAGCTAAAGCAAACTTGCTGCATACGTAATAACGTACAATGGCCAATTCTTTGCACTCGAGACTTGGCCGGGGAAACCTGTTTTCAAAAGCGCTGTGCCTATGGATTCGTACTACCGCTACGCTGACCTTGGTTGCTTTAAAACTTACCTTTATCCTTGCTGGCTATGTGCAACGCGAGTTAAACACACTCATCCTCGAAACAGCAATGAAAACAACGCATCAGGCCATTAACAAAAGCTCTTCGGTTTTGTTGTTGCGGTTTTAGATTCTATTAGCAGGCTGCATTCAGCGCGGTGGAGCGTTTATGCGCCAGACTGCGCAGTGAGATTTAAAAGTGTTTTCAAATTAGCACT